GAATTGTTTGTTTGTTATTTTTTACAATACATGTTTCTTCTTGGGGATGAATAAAAGCCAGGCAGAAGCGCGAGAATTGGGCGTGAGCCGCATTCTGGTGGAGGACCCTGACACTGTGTGTGTATGATCCCCACATTCTCGAGCGAACATCTACTGTGAGGACTTCAAACTTGCAGTGTTGTGAAGCAAAACAGATCAGCCCGTCCAACATATTGGACTGGCCAACGTTTGCAGACACCGGCGCTGGTGTTTGTGCAAGCGAAATACAGATGGATTAGCGTCGAACTCAAAAGGGGCCAGCAGAAGGGCTACTGCTTGCAGCTTCATGTTAAGTTTGCCTAAAAAATCTAGAAACCAAATGAATAGTGCGAGCGCTTCTTCAAGGAAGCCCGGAGCTTTCTTGAAGAAGTGTGAGCTATCCTGCGTCCATGCTAGTAGCGTACAAGTAAGGTACTAGCGACCTCTCCTTTACTTAATTAAGTAGGCGCCTAATCACGAAAGGTAGCCCTTTAGGGGATACCTTGAGTTTGTCTTGCGAAGCAAGTGTTGGGACGTCCGGGTCTAATAATTGATCGCTCAATTCAGACCCCCCCCCCCTCCCCCCCTCTAAAATCAATTCTCTCCTGGAGAACGTCTTCGTGAGCCTCTCATGATTTCATAGTTGAAACCCTCTTGAACATTTAGAAAGAGTGAATATGAAATTCTAATCACGAAAGGTGTTCCCCGAGGGGATACATACCTAGAGTTTGTTTTGTGAAGCACGTCAATTCTCTCCTGGGGAGCGTCTTCGTGAGCCTCTTATGGTTTCAGGATAGTTCAAATCCTATGATGTTCCGATTCAATGCTCACCGATGATCTGAGCCATGGGGCAAGTTTGTTTTCCTAAGAACCTTTTTGAACATTTCGAGAGCATATGTTTGAACATTTAGAGTGCATATGAACATATATTTACGAAAGGTCGCCTCCGAGGGGAAAAATCACCATGTCGAACATTGCATTTTTGTTCCTGCCTCTCGCGTTCTTTTCTCTTCCCGCTGTCCTACCTTTCGTGTCTCCCTCCTCTCAAGTTAATTAAGTAAGGAGGGGGGGAGCGAGCTTAAAAGAAATCTTTTAGGTACAGAATCAGAAGTCGTGCGGCCGTGCTTTCTCCAAAACGAAAACGACCTCGCGGGTATTGCAGCTGTCATTGGCTTCAAGCCTGCTTGCTCATTGGACTGTACTTGTAATGGCGGGCCAAAAAGTAAGCATGAGACAACAGGTGCTCTTAACAGGAGATGGCCGAAATCGCACAAGTTCAAGTCCACAAACAAAGCAACAAAAAGACAGAGATTTGGTTGGCTCAAGGTTGGAGAACTGGATAGCTGCCCCATCCCCAAACAGTGGCTATACCAAAGGTATCGGGGACACATTTCCACATCTCACACAGAGACCAGGCACAGAAAGATGAACAATGCGACCAATAGGGATCGCCAGATGTTCAAGGGCTTTCTGGGATGGTGTCCAACTGCGCTGGTGGTTGCCTCGGAGCTTTGAAGATGACATGGCTCCGCATATCTTACGCTGGGCTCACCGGCTTTTTGCTCCTAGTAGCGATGGCCTCCAACCTAGTAGCGATGGCCTCCAACCTAATAGCGATGGCCTCCACCTAGTACCTTCTTGCTCCTAGTAGTAATGCCAGGAGCCCCTAGTAGCGTCCTTGCTCCTAGTTGCGATGCCCTTTGCTCCTAGTAGCTTCTTGCTCCTAGCTTCCCATTTGTAATTGTTGTTGAGGCGTTCAAAGACCACGCGCTCCGAGTGGCCCGCGGCCTACCGGAAGGAGCTCACGCGGCTGCAGCGGGCACCCACGACGGCGCCACCTGCGGCACCGAGCACGGCGGAGGCGCCGAACGATGCGGTGAAGGCGGGCGGATCGTTGGCAATGCCTATTTGGGACCAGTTGCACACCTGTCAACAGAAACTGTTTGTTCTTGCTGATGGCCTGGACAATCAGACGGCAGTTGGCCAGACAGTGCTGTTTATAGTGTAGAGTGACTGAGTAAACGGTGAGCAAGAGCTATCCCCCAGCCACCAACATGCAAATCAATCCAAGGATGTACAATTTTAGGTTCGCATGTTTCGCCCTGACGCTGTCCTGTTTGTGTCCTCGTGATGCTTCTGTCAAAAGAGGTATGAGACGAGCCCCCAAATTGTTGCGTTCTCTTGAGCAATGATATTTTCTGCAGTATAGCATTAGGAAAACCTCAAAAGCTGAAACCTGGCCCACCCTTTTCCCATGCAGCAGCTTGAGGAGGAAAGCATCCATAGAGTTCCAGTTCGCTTGCTTACGACTGTACAGCAGAGTGAGATGTTGGCGCAAAGGATACTGGATTCGTCGCACCACAGCATTGGATTGGATTGCAGTGGTGAGAAGATTGGACGCTTTGGAAAGCTTGCATTACTTCAAGTGGCAACTGAGGATGACGTTTCCCTCGTTGATGTTGAAATAGGAGGTCTTGAGATCCTGGAGCCCTTCCGACCCGTCTTTACAAGCACGAGCCTTGTAAAGGTTTTCCATGACTGTCGTGAAGCAGTTTCATTTCTCCTGAATCAATTGCATATCCCCACCTATTCAGTCTATGACATACAGGTGGCTTTTACTACCTGGCTGGAACGCGAGGGGCTCGAAGAGTACCAAGCCAGCCTGGCAGAGATCATCAGGAGCTGTTCTTTGAGCACCTACCGACTACACCGATGGGATCGTTTGGAGCGGAACACGTTAACGCCTTCACAATGGCACCAAAGGCCACTGCAGCCACAGGTGATCCGTCAGGCCGTTGAAGGCGTGGTGCATTTGACCCGTTTGCAAGCCACCTTGAACAAGGAACTTGGAGACCCCTCTGGAACTTTGGTGCAGAGGCGCAGTGCCCACTACACGGACTATGCTCGCATGAACTGCAGAGAACTCCCGCTGGAAAGCTCCCTTCGAAGTGGAATGAAATTGGAAGCAATGTTGGTTTCAAAGAAACCTGATGCTGCGTATTTCAAGCTGAATCACACTGTTACGGGGGCCGTGCTGGTACATGAGGATTTGAAGGAGTTTATTGACCTCAAACCGGGAGCTGTCGCCGAATGCCATGTAAAGTCTGTGAGTCCTTGCCATAGCTTTGCATATTTGCAACGTGAGGGCCATGGTAATCTCTGGTTTGATCAGCGGCAAGGTCGATTCCTGGTGTGCACACAGAGGGTGCTTTTGATGCTTTCTTCGAATCTATTTTGTCATGTGCCGGTGAGTGTACTTTTCTAGTTGACCTGTGGCAAGGAATGGTGAAGCTGCCTTCCCAAGAAGAACTGGATCAAGCACGGCCCAAACGAGAATCGAGCCTCTACGGGCTTGGCCAGGGCTCACCGGGTCAACCCAATCTCAGGGAAGAACGTCGCAGCTTCCGACCCCAAAAGCCTTCGGTGATCTACAAGCCAGGAAAGAGAGGTGCAGTGAAGGCTCGGAAAGGTTGCTGGTCGAAGTGCACATAGTGGAACTATGTGGAACCTGAGTCAACCCCCCAAAAAAAGACACAGGAAAACAAACTTGTATCATCTTGTATCGTGGTTACACCTTAAACTAGTGTAAACAGGTGTAAACAGGTGTAACTGTTACACCTTTAATGGTTGCACAATGTACCGTGCAGCGACCACTCCGAGGGGCTGAGCCGGTTCTACCGGATTCTGAGCATCGGCCAAGTCGACCACCTTACGAGTCACCTGACACCTGGTTGATCGATGTTGGCAATTCTTTCGGAGCCAAAAGCCTTCTCAAGCTGGGATTCAGTGAACGTAATGCGGTCTTACATCCAGACCTATTATCCCACGTCCAGACTTTGCGAACGCAATCTTGGATTTTAAGTTTGGAAGCGCAAAGCCAGCCGCCCTTTCATTCTGACGACCTGTCCACATTCAAAAGCAAGAACCATTGTGGGATATGCCATTGATGGAAAATTAAGTTGAACACATAATTACATGTTTTCAACCATAAAGTTGGCAAGAACGTAGCGTGGGAAAGATCGCAGATCCTGATCCGGTTGGGTGATTCACGTTGAACATGAGCACATATATCGTTTATGTAATACTATGTAATATAAACATACTATATATATATATAGTTTGTTTTTTTTGGATGTTGCTGTGCAATTGCACATGTGCGATTGTCACACTGTCCTTTTTTGGTTTTGCGGTCTTGTTTGCCTTGGACCAGCTTCTTTCTGTGCTTGGTTGATTTGGATATTTTGAAGGCTTTTCCATGACATTGTGTCAATTGTGTGTGTGACCCTTTTGTATGACCCCTCCATTCTGTACCTGGTCCTAGACCAAGATGTGGTAAGGGGGCGGGCGTCTGAGTGAACGTTGTCCGCAAGCGCCGTAGGATAGGCGAACATTTCTAGAATCTGCCGATTAGGGGTACATGGGGAGTGTTGGCTTTTGATCTACTGTCAGTTGCACTGGTTGTAGGTGTTTCAGAGTGTTCTCTCTCGTCAGGTGAAAAAGGATGGCTTTACACCGCCTGCACTTCGCGACCAGAGCTTTTCTTAAAATGGGCGCCAAGGCCAATCTGTTGGTTTGTGAGATTGCCTCTTGTTGAGCACTTTGCAATTGGGTGTGGGTCAAAAGAACAGATTAGACCCCCGAATGCATTTTGGATTCTTGGTACCGAGGGGATTGTGATTTAAGTGCCTAAAGATAGCTTCTTTTGACCCACACACTGTGTACGCTAGTGATGCAGAACATCCTGTCAAATCATGTTTGACTCCTGTCCCGCTCAAAAGCTACATACAGTACATATATAAATCCATTCGGAGGTGTTCTCAAATGTTCGAGGATGCGAACGAAGAAATTGACAAACATGTGCGGGTGAAGGATGCTTAGAAAGTCGGTTTGTAGATTCTTTCTTTAGATCCAAGAAGGGCTTGGGCTTCTTAGATCATAGTGAATGACCTACAAAAAGGGACCTTAGCCAGCCAACAGCAATTAATTGCGCCAAAGCCTTGCAGTCCAAAGACATGTGGACTTTTGCCATGCATGCGTTGTGCATCGCTTCGACCTCAGACGTTGTGCGCTTGATACATCGCCCAAGTGGTGCAAACGAACAGACCAAGCCACATGGCCGGTGGTGGCCCTACGGCGGCCTTACGGTGAACCTACTGTTCCTACCCAGGTATGGAGAAATCCGGGATAGACACGACTTACGATGTTTGGTTTGTGGGTATGCCAGACGTAGTTGGGCAGATGCCCAACACTGACTGGTCTGCTGGTTTTCAACACTTGGTGGAACGCAAACAGACAGATGTTTAGATTTTAGATAGGGGTCGATCGCATTGCAGGTTCACGAACACCGGTATCAGGCACCTGGCCAATCCTGTACAAACATTTTGCATCATTTTGAGACTTCTTTGTGTCAACCTGTGTCCAACCCAGGAAACCAGTCAACTCTACGGAATGGTTATATAGTAGGAACAGAGAGTCATGCAATTACTGGCCAGCTATTGGAATCTTTCACTGACGGCAGACCGGTCGAAGTGGTTTCTGATTTGGTGCACACCCAGGTGTGTGCATGTGCATTGCACTTCAATGAAGTTCAAGCGGCAGAGCTGGCATGCAGTTGGTTTGATACAACCGGCAGTGGAAATCTGAAAAGGCTTTGTACGTTGCAGGTGCCTGATTTTCCAGCTTTCCCCGCTGCCCATCCAGGCGGGAAGTTTGTTCGATGGGTGATCGAAGTTCGCTTTGACCGAACGTTCCTGGCAGATCTTCTGCACAATGTACCTCATGTGCCAACAGCTCATGCAGAATGGGGTAGCACCCTGAGATGGTCTTGGATTTGTTGGACCTGTTGGATCTGTTCGCCTCCGATTTTGAGGTGTTAAAGCACCCATTCCTCTCCGTGACTTAGATCCACAGTTCATCGTGAGCTCCTCAGACTAAAGGGACCCGATGGTGGCAGCCCGGCGCAGACCACCTAGGTGAATCGACAGGCCGAAAGCAAAGCCGTGGCAATTCTGCGATCGTTGGCCGCGGGTCGCAGATCTTCAGCACTTTGAAGTTTTCAGAGACTTATTATGTGACCAGTGGCAACAAAACAGACATCCATGGCTTTCCATTTTGGAGCCAGCCCAGAAACACCAAGGTCGCAGGCTTGTCAACCTCACTTGGAGCTGGCATTGTCCTCTCCCCAGATTTTGGCACCTCTTTTCACGTCCGTACTAGCGAATGAGTCGAGCACGAGGTTTTGTTACTCCGTGGCTCACCAAGTGCTGGTCAAATGGCCACAACCTAAAAAGACCGGAGACGAAGATGATGAGGATGAGAACCTGAAGAATGAAGATGAGATGATGAGGACATAAGCCTTTAAGCTTTTGCGAGATCACTGTAAGACCTGAAAGCCCTTTGACATTTCTTGCATGTGTGCTAGATGTAAAGCTAGAATGCCTTGAGGCTTTTGCTTTGGCTTTGGCGGCCGGTGTTCTGCTGGCTTCGTTTACTTCATTTCTGGTCCAACCAAATAGATATTAGAGCTGCCAGGTGATGCTCACTGTCTCCTTGGTTGGCTCTCCAGACTTGAACAGATTGGACCAAGTGCTTCTTCATTCAGACTTGAACAGATTGTTGGAGAGTTCGGGCATGGCCTGACTGTCTCTGAGGTGGAACTCTTTGTTCCGCCATTCTTCCATGGGCAGTGGCTACAGGTTGTGGTCATTCTCGTCAGCAGATCTCTCTGCCTGATCAGAGACCCTGTGTGAGGCAAGCCTGTCCGGCCTCTTTGGGTTTCTTAGCTTCATGGTCCTTAGGCGCGGTTTAGGGGAGGGTAAGGGAACGCCTAGGACCAACCAAGGGGTCACTTCATCGTGTTGTCAAGATCAGCACTTTCTCTATAGTTATGAACGCTTGAGCGGCAGGAGATTTGTTTCAGAGCCAGAGATGGCTTGTGGAAAGAAGGATGAGGCCTGCTTGTCCCGCATGGAAGCTACCTGCAAACCACTTCAGCGCCAGGACGATGTGGAGAAGGGGCATGTGACACTCTCAGAACTTGCAGACATTGTGCCACCAACTGCCGAAGATCAACCGAGCAAACTTTGGTGGCATGTGTTGGACCTAGGCTAGAGATAACGTGGAACCGAAAGCAAGCCGGGTGAAGCATTCGCAGTTGCTGTCGGCATATTTTGTTTTCTCATTTTTTGCTAATCTCAGGTGATTGAGATTTGTTTTGCACACTTCCTTGTGCCATGGAGTGGCAGGCAATGGCGGTTAGCATTTCTGATGATGTCCTTTACCTCAGAGATGTTTCCACCAAAAGACACACGTCGTCGCCTCCGCACGTCGTCGCGCAGCAAGCCCTCAGGCTAGCGCTCACTGCCCACAACTTTCCTGAAGGACTGGCAGTTGGAGTGCTGGGCAAAGTCGAAGCATCGTGCAGTCGAAGCCGACGTCCATGCGAACATCCACTTCTTGAGGTTTCCTCGCTTCAAAGCGAACGCTTGGGTGTTGTTGTGTGACTCTCAGCTTAACGTAAAACCAATGGTCACGGTTGAGAGATATGCTGCGGAATGCTTACAGAAAGCGATGCTCGAGCCAAGCTTCTTGGTTTTCGCCACAGTCAAATGAAATGTCAGCTGTTTATGGCTGGATGAATCCAGAATACCAAAACAGCCATGGGTTTCAGCCATACAGAGCTGAGATTTTAATTTTTACAACTTCAATTCTCAGTCTTTTCAGGTCATGGCCGCAATCGCGGTGCACAACATTCCTGAGGGCATTGCTATTGCAATGCCAGCAGCAAGACGGCAGACAGCGGATCTGACCCTGGCAATGTGGGTGCTGTGTAAAAACGCAGGTTTTAGAGAAAGGAAAGAGGAAGACAGGGCTGGAAAAGAACAACTTCTTGTACTCCTCAAAAACCGTGGTGAAAGGATGGGGCTGCCACCAGTTCACTTCTTGAGCCTTTCGAGTTGTTTTGGCCGCTCTTGGATGAGTCTTGCCGCTTGGTGCTTGTGGATGAGGTCCTTGAGGCCACCAATGATCGCCGAAAGGCAATGTTAATGGTTGGCACCTCAGAGAACCGGAGCGGGCTGCGGATCTCAAACCTTCACCGGGGCCGCGGATGGGCCGGCTGCAGATGGGCCGCACGCCTAGTAGGGACAGTGCATTGTAATTGACCATACTCAAAAGGTTTTACCATAAAGTAAGTACTACAATGCAGTAAAAAATACAGTTTTACCATACTCAAAAGCCAGTGGTTTTAGGATGTGTTTTTCTCAGCCCAAATCTTCCAAAACGTCGGGCCTGTCCTTGCCGAAGCGCCGGCGAAGCGCCAGGCCACGCTCTCGGGCCTGGCGGAACCGCTGGGCGCCTTCATCGCTGCCGGGGTCTCCAGGGGCAAAAGGAACATTCATCGAGTCACGGCCAAAATTGACATTTGCATACATTTGCAGACAAAGGCATTGATTGTTTTTTGCGAACAAACATAATCGTTGTGTCTTAGGTTGAGATTGCTGCGACCCAGAGTTTTGCTTAGGTAACTTTGCTGCCTCCCGGAGCACTTGCCGGCCCAGGACTAGCTTTTTTTCCGTGGCAGTGATGAGTTCGCAATTAGGAGCATAAGGCCCGGAGTAGTCTTACTACTAGGAGCAAGGACGCTACTAGGGGCTCCTGGCCTTACTAGGAGCAAGGACGCTACTAGGTAGGTTGGAGGCCATCGCTCTTAGGTTCTTTGAGCACCCCATAGTCCACAGCACCGTAGGGATGGACATCTTGCTTTGCATCGTGGGCGGGATTATGACCTCTGTGGCCGCTTTAGAGCTCTTGTCTCTGCCTGAGCAACCAACAGAAAGGGACACCCAGCCTGAAAGCTCGTCTTTGAAGACTGTTGCGCGATGCAAGCGCAAAAACCGTAATTTCTTGTTTGTTTTCCTGCTTTGCAAGGCCAGAAGCAGTGGCCCAGCGACAAAATTGGAGCACCTTTGCAGGATCGGAGCTTAGATGTACAAACTCTGGGAAACAAGCTTCGCTTGGTTGGGATATAGGCGTAGATCATCATAGATTCTGTTAGCGCTACTGATACTGCCCGCGTCCAGAGTCTAGCTACTCTTGAAAGATCAGAATAGAAGATCGTGGATCATCCTCAATCCCGAGCAGATGGCAAGACACATCTCGAGGCCTTGTAACAGGAGCCCTGGTCATGCTCCTCACACACGAATTGGCCTGAGATTCAGATTGACAATTACAGCTGCCAGAATCTGTTTATGACTGGAAACCTCCTCCCAACGATAAGTTGTTATTTGAGGATAGAACTCCCCAACCACAGAACTTATATAAGTGCTTTTCGGCGAGCTTTCAGAAGCAGATTCCGCAGTGTTTGTGCAAAGAGTTCACTCCTCTTTGAACGAATGCTGTTTGCAACATTCTGAGGAGACAAAAGGGAGCCCTTTGTGCTGTTTTGTTGATGTTTGCAAAAGGTTCAGCAGCCAGTAAAGCCTACATGTGGCCAGCACAGGGCTCAAGCAATGATCGCGATGCTGTATTGCCACCATCAGATCGGCACTGAAGCGTGAAATCGATGCCCCCAAAGCGCCCACCCCAAAGTAGTGGTGGGCCATCAGTGCCCCTTGCCAATTCTGGAAGTACGAGGGCGGTGCCGCGAAGAGCAGACCGAGCTGAGGGTTCAAGAGGTGCGATTCGTAGCCAGAGTGTGCCGAGGAACTCTGAAATTTTTGATGTGAAGGAGTCCTTTGCGGCAGATCCCAAACCACCAGGACGTGCCAAAGCATCTGCACAACTGCGCTCATCTGGTCAGGGAATGGCATATGCTCGAGGTGCACAGGCGATGAGGGAACAACAGGCCCTTAGACAAAAACTGCAGGTGGGTGCTCGAGATCGGTCTTCTTTGGTTCTGGAACTGGTTGTGCGGGTAGCGTGTGCAGCTATGCAACATGCGGTGAGAGAAGTGTGTGCAGTGAGAACATGTTCACGGCAGCTGTGTGAGACATGTTCTGAAGATGCTGTGTGGGAGCAGTTGTACCGGCTTCGATGGACACCTTCATCTTCTGTCGCCACCGGTTGGCGACAGGCGTACTTGGCACGCTTGCGGAGACTTCAAGCCTCATTTTTGGCCCGTAACCTTCCGAATTTCGTTCGCAAGCTTCGACGTCGAGATGGTCTACCAGACTTGAGGAAGATTCATGATGCACTGCGCATGAGCTTCTCATTGTCTTTGTCGCATGGTCCCAGTGCTTCCTGCCAAACAATTGACTTCACTGAGGCAAATGTGGATGCTTCCATCCAGCTCTTTGATACTGCTTTATGCCTTCGATGTACTTTCTCGACATTGAACCTCAAGTGTCCTCTTCATTATCAACTCCGAGGTAGATCATTGGCCTGTGGGAAAGATGAGGTCTTGTTGACATCTAGCCTTCAAAGCCCAGAAGATTGGAGCCAGAGCTCCATCCAAGAAGACTGCAGATTTCTGAGAAGTCCCTGCGGCCGGGTGTTTGCAGCCTTGTGGGGCGACGACTCTTTGGCTGGGATATATGTGACATTGCACTATGCGCAAAGCTTATGGCCCATCATTGGCGCCAGTGAAGCATGGGCATTGTTGGCCAGACCCCCTGAGCCAGATGATTTGGACTCTGCACTCGGTCTTCATGACTACACTGTTCTGTTAACACTCCGAAGTGCTAAGCAAGAATGCTTCTCCAACGGATTCTACAAAGTCCACCTGTTTGGTCTTGGCTCAATCACGTCTGGATTTGGTGGGGCCAGCTACTTAGTCAACAATTTGTGTTGTTGGTTCGTGCAGTGTTCCACTGCTGTTGACGTAAGATCCCAATCAAGGTCCTTGTAGACGGCCGCTGCTGTGTGGGGCTCTCAACGATTTTTAGCAAGTCATGGCCCGATTTCTTAAAAAGCAATCATCCGATTTGGTGCAGGTTGAGCAAAGCCAAGCGGCGGCTGGATATGTGGAGGAAACGTCATTGTTAGAGCGTGTATATAGAGCTTGATGGTCATTGAGTCAATGCCAGTCTTTCTCCCAAACAGCCTTCACCAGGGCAAACCATCTTCTCGTCAAAAGCGCCGAGACAAGTCGTACAATGCAGAGGCAAGTCGTACCCACATGTTTCACGTCTCACATGTTCCAGGGCTCACGTCTTGAAGGTTTCACACTTTGAAGCCTTGGCGCCCCACGACTCGGGGGTCCAACTTCCGTGGCTCGGAATGCAGCGAGGGTGGAGCAGCGAGCGGGTGGAGTGCGTTCGGTGGCGTTCCGTTTCGAGGTTTCCCTGTCTACGAGCCCCTCAAATCACACTCCAAACGGCAGCCTTCAAGTCGGTGCTGCCAGAGGCTTAGAGGGCACAGATGTATAAAGCAGGTTTTGTATGCTTCTGTTGGCTTCGCGCCGCACGTGTCCCGTGTTGTTGTTGTTGTTGTTGTTGTTGTTGTTGTTGTTTCCCCAGATAGTGAAGCTATTATGGCGTTCTTACTTCAAATAACAATGAGTTGCCCGTGCGCGCTTTCGAGACAGGTTACTGGTGCTGGGTGCCGGTGCTGGTGCTGGTGCTGTGAGCTGGCTGTGCACGCGGTGGAGACAGGTTGCTGGTGCTGGGTGCCGGGTGCCGGTGCTGGTGCTGGTACTGTGAGCTGGCTGTGCACGCGGTGGAGACAGGTTGCTGGTGCTGGGTGCTGGCTTTGCACGTGGTGGAGACAGGTGCTGGTGCTGGTGCCGGTGCCGGGTGCTGGGTGGGCTGGTGCTGTGAGCTGGCTGTGCATGTGGTGGAGACAAATTGCTGGTGCTGGGTGCCGGGTGCCGGTGCTGGTGCTGGTACTGGCTGTGCATGTGGTGGGGGCAAATTGCTGGTGCCGGTGCTGGTGCTGGTGCTGTGAGCTGGCTGTGCACGTGGTGGAGACAGGTTGCCGGTGCTGGTGCCGGGTGCCGGTGCTGGTGCTGGTGCTGGGCGCCAGTGCTGGTGCTGGTGGTGTAGCTTGCATATGTGAGGGGGTCTATTTTCGGATCTTTTTCCCAGATAGCGAAGCTATGGGGTTGTTACTTCAATTACCAATGAGAGCTGCCTGCGCGCGCTTTCGAGACAGGTTGCCGGTGCTGGCGCTGGTGCTGTGAGCTGTGCACGTGGTGGAGACACGGTGCCGGTGCCGGGTGCTGGCTGTGCACGTGCTGGAGACAGGGTGCCGGTGCTGGTGCTGGTGCTGTGAACTGGTGGAGACAGGGTGGCGGTGTTGGGTGCCGAGTGCCGGCGCCGGTGCTGGTGCTGTGAGTTGGCTGTGCACGTGGTGGAGACAGGGTGCCGGTTGCCGGTGCTGGGTGCTGGCAGTGTGCGTGGTGGAGACAGCGGGCGCCGGCGCCGGTGGTGTGAGCTGGCAGTGCGCGTGGTGAAGACTGCTGCGCGCGTGGTGGAGACAGGGTGCCGGGTGCTGGGTGCTGGTGCTGGGCTGGGTGCTGGTGCTGGTGCTGGGCGCCGTGAGCTGGCGTGCTGGCGCCTTATGCGCGCAACATCATACGGGGTCGTCGCTTGAGCGTTCTTTGTCTATTAGCGCTGTGGGGGTATTTGCGCTCTTCAGGTTTTGTTTTGGCCGACAGCTGTGTCAAGGGCTGCACTGTTTGCGCGCATACTTTTGTACGTATAATGTTCTATGCGCAACATCAGGCTCTCAACCGACCATTGTGTTAGCGTGTTCCAGCATGCTACACACACAATAGTCGTGGATACTGCTTGGCCTTGGGCGCGTGAAGCCTACGGGCTTTGCCGTTTGTGCGCATACTTTTGTGCGCATAAACTTATACGCGCAAGATCATACGGCCTTATCGTTCTGCAGATCGTTGCTTCAAGCGTGCTGCAAAGTCAATAGTGGCGCTGGATACTGCTTGGCCTTGGGCCAATGACACTTACGGGCTTTGCTGTTTGCGCGCGTACTTATGTGCGCATAAACTTATACGCGCAAAATCATACGGTGTTATTCCCCAAATAGGGATAGCTGCTGTGGAATTCTTGCTGCAAATAAGAATGAGCTGGCTGCGCGCGCGCTTTCGAAAGGGTGTCGGTGCTGGTGCTGGTGTTGTGGTCCTGGGTGCTGGTGCTGTGAGCTGGCTGAGCACGCGTTTAAGACGGGCGGCGGCGCTGGTCGGGTGCTGGTGCCGCTGCCGGTGTTGTCAGCTGGCAAAGTGCACCGGTGCTGGTGTCAGCTGATTGTGCGCGCCGTGGAGGTGCCGTAAGGTGGCTGCGCAAGCTGCGTACATTCTTGTTCCAGCCAGTCGCATGTCAACAGGTCGTGGGACTCTGCCTAGCTATCTGGGTCTATGCTGGTGTATTTTTTTAAATTGATGTCAGCTGTGTTTAGTCGTGCGATGTAGTATGTGCTTTGCAGCCTTTGTTTTTCAGGCAGGACCATTGCTTTATGGATGTGACCGTTTTTGATGAGCACGGGCACATCTTTTGGGCTGTGTTGCACAGCCGCACAAATACAATTTTTGATGATTGGCTGGAAGGGAACCAGAAGAATCATGCTGCCTCCAAAGCTTTTGAGGTCAGCAGTGTGCCAGTTGTTTGATGTGTTGCCCTCAGCATTGTTGGACATGGACAATTTAGTTTTGGTTGGATGATTTCATGTGCAGATGCTGGTGGATGGCTGAGGCCTGCCCACATGAGTCTTCCATTTTGCAACACAGGCATGTGCAGGTGCATGGGGAGTATCGGGGATGTCGTTGAACTATTTGCTGGGAAGAAGGCAGTTTCTTTGTTGTGACAGCATTCAGAATGAACATGGAACGCCGATAATAGCTGAGCCAGCGAATATATATATATATATAATATAACTGGAAGAGTGTCAGGTCAACAACATTGTTTGGATGCTGCGTTTACATGCGGTTTAGGTGCAAGATGTGAATATGATTGGAAGAATAACTTTGGAATATCAGTTGAACACCATTGTTTGGATGCTTCGTTTCCATGCAGGTTAGAGGGAAGGTGACCAAACTGTGATTACATGGTGTTTTAACATAAAACGGTATACTTTTTGCACGCCGGGTGACTTTTGACTAATGCTGCGTTTACATGCGGCCGGGTGACTTTCTGCAAATCCGGGTGACTAAACCCCGACGCTTGTACCGGCTGCTGTAAAACTACCCAGAAAACATTCATAGGAAGGAAATACCTCTAAGAATGTTCCGGTACTTGTTTTGTCCCTTTTTGTGACCTTTTTGTGCGCCAACAGAAGAAAAGGTCCTCACAGAAAGCCAGTTTCAGGTTGGAAGAGCAAGGCCGGGCATCGGAAGGTCAAACCCGTTTGAACATCAATCAACAGCAAAACCTGAAGAACAACAAGGGAGGTCTGTGTCTAAAGATCACACCCGACTCAACTGCATTGCTGCGGAAGTGAAGAGAATGTCGCTTTGCCAGGTCGATTTCGATCGTGGCAGCCTTTGCCCTAGTCACCCTAGTCGTCCAGTGGCTGGCGTCCACGTGGAATCGAGGGAGAAACACTTTCAGCGTCCACCGGTGGGATGAGGTTCAGCGTCCACTTCTGGCAGAGCAGCTTCAGCCTCCACCTCATCTGGACTGGGAGCGTTCGGACAGTCAAACGGAACATATTTCCTTTAGCAAAGTTGGGTAATAGTGAAGATGAGCGATGAGCTGTCAAGTTCAGCAGTGATGTTTTGGAGACGTGGGGCATCCATGACAGAATTGGACACGTCATAGCTTCGTCTTTAAAACGATCCAAATGGCCAAGAGCAAAAGAGGTTCCCAAACAGCGGCAGGAAGCCCCACCTGCAACCAAAAGTACCACAATGAACGCCCGACGCAACGCCTGCTTCTGTTCATTGGGCCTGAGCCAAGGTCCGGTGGCTTTGCTTGGCTGATCGTGGAGCTGCCCAAATCCTTGTGCAGCGGGTGGTCTAAGTTTTAACATTTCACAGAGTCAAAGCCATTGACATCATCAGGGGTAGAAACATCTCTAAAGAGCAAGTTTAGGGTTTGACCTGGCAAATCACTTTCCCGAGTCTCCAGAAATCATATGCACTTATGGGCTTCTTATCCTTGCATTTGTGACTCTCCAAGGCTGGACTTTGACTGCTTTTCTGGAGGCCTCACACTGTTATTTTTGAAGTCTCCCTCGTTTAGGAGGTTCAATTGTTTAGAGTTGCTGGGTGACTGGATGACCCCAGACCCGGCCATTCGCGATCGCGACCGCTGTGGGACCGAAGCCGCATGGAGCCGAGGAAGCGATCGACAACTCCCGCGGGTCAATGCCGTGACATTGCATCCAGAAGTGGACTTTCTCGATCAATGGCCCACTCCTCAAGGTTTCGATCTCCTAAAAAGTGGAGATGGCAGGCACATGGACACTGAACACACTGTTTGCAATTGAGGTGGAGCTCCAAATACGCACAGACTGCCAAAGGCAAGCCTCATTTTGTTCCAGATCCTGACCGATGAGACCAGTGACAAGCCTTTGTTTGCCTTGGTGGACAGCCAGGAATATGTACAGATGCATTCTGGAACATTGGAGAGCCCAAGGAAAAAAGTTGCGAGACTCACATGCCAGCCACTTAACAAAAACGTCGGCGCAATTGAGACCGGTCATTCTTTCGCTTTTGGATCCCCGCTGTGCCGATTGAACTGACTCCGCCGCCTCTCGGTTGTGCTTGGCACGGAATCACCGACGATGGGCTCAGGAGGTGACCGTGGCAACCCAGGTGTTCTCCATTCCGGCCCATTTGTGGAACTTGTGCGCGCGTTCCCGGTGTCCCCGGACTGGCTGCTGCTTGCTTCAAGATGACCCCACGCCGCCGTAGCCGCAAGTGTTTGCACGCTCTGGAGCCTGGCAATCCAAAGAGGTTGATCCAACAGCTCTTTGGAAACAGCCTCCAGTTCTCTTTGCGTTTTTTGGTTTCATGGAGAGTTGCCCTAAGCCTTGGCTTCACCTTCGCCGCGACTGCCTTGTGTTGCTGCCGTCCTGGACGACAGCGAGCCTTCAACTCTCGCCAGCTCACAGGCCTGTGGTGGGTGGTTGCCGCCCCGCCAGGTTATTTTTTGCTCAGTTCGTTCACACTTCCTTGGCACTGCCATGCCCGGAAAGTGCCAGCCAGCATCATGGACAGCTTCTCAAGCCGACAATCTGACTTCACAGAACATGTTTCTAGAACGGTGCTGCCTGTACATTTCCAAAGAACCGGCGAATCCACCCAAAAATGCAACTGGACAACCCAACACATGCTGTCCTTCATAGGCTTGGAGTTGCGCAGCACCCCACGCGGTCGATTTGTGCAGCACCTTCGCGCTCCAAGTAAGGACGGGTAAGACCTCAAGTCTGACGTGAGTCGCAGAAACAAAAGTCGGTTCCAGTCAGAAGGAGCAGCTGAAATATGAAAAAAGTCAAGGGCCAGGATCATCACGTTGAAAAAGGGCGAGGCAGGTGTATTCGATGTAAAAAGCCCTTCCAGAAGCAAGAGAAAATTGAATCAGGAGAGCACTTTCAGGAGTGGATGATACTAAGCCAACTAGAACCTCCACCAGTCCAACTTCTTATGCTGCGCGCAGGCAGCGAAAGTCTTTGCATATTTGAAGGCGATGAGTTAAGCAGCAGAGCGTTGTAAATGGGAAGCAACGGCTCGCGTGCTACGAATAGATGTGAACAAGTAGCTCGTACAGTAGGACAAAAAAGAACTATAGCCTGTCAACAAAGCGGGGTGCTCAGTCTGAAACGGCTAGAATCGATCTGATAGCTAAGGATAGGAAGAAGCAGACTTGAGTTGTTGTTAAGGAACATTTCAATACGCAGGCGAGGAACAAATACAGAAGAACGAATCTCTTCAACAAGAGCCTTTCAGCAAATCAACAAAAATAGTGAGGGCACTGAACATAATTCTTACACGAGAGTGCACAACGCTAGCGGCTTACGTCACAGACAGCGAGAATGTCAAAGAGAGAGAGAGAGAGAGAGAGTGCACATCAAGGTTTTGTAACGGGAAGAATCTGGCTTTGAACGGGGCACAGATCGAAACAAGCGGACAATGTCTGGCTCGAAAAGGAACATGATCTGGATTGCATTGGGGGGCTGTACAAGGTCCGGGCTGGTGCAATCCAAAAGACAACTCCAAAATCCAAGCAAGATTGGACTCTGTTTTTTTTGCGTATGTTTTTCAGCGGTATTCGGTATTCGGCAATTGTTTGTGATTCACGTTGTTCACAAGTTATTCGCGTTTGATCACCACGTCGTGTGATCACGGTTTGAATGCATCTCCCCTGCAATGGCCGTTCTGTGTGCCGCTCTGCAGACAGTGGACCCAAAGGGTCCAGACTCCCCACTGGTCGTAGCCACCCTTTGGGGACATGGACCCATTCAGTATCATTCAGAATCATTCAGTCGAACCGTTTTCTCCAAACAACGAAAAAGAGGGGCGTTTTTTTTGCTCGCGCATTTGAGATGATCTGAGTGTGCAGCATACAACTTCGCCTGCTCCAGCGCGTTCGGCGTGAGAGCGAATTCGTTCACCAGGCACTGCACCCTGCAACTCAACTTGTTTTTTCCCCAAGTGTGCCGCTTTTGGTGCAGGCGCTCCATCGTGCCCTGATTTGCTTCAAGGTGGTCAGACCTGTTATATAGCTCTGCAGACTCTGCAGATGTCGGTGGCAAGTTGGCAAGCCTTCTCCTTGAGTATCCTAGTCCAATGGTCCAACGATGACGGCGAGCTTGCGCCACTGGCCACTTCTAGCAGTGAGGCACTGTGAAGACCCCAAGCAAGGGTCGTTCTTTAAGTTTTCTGGACGCTGACGCTGCCACAACAAATAAAGGCTGAGCCCATACAAACCGCCTCTTGTGAGCGCCGTGCTCAGGAAACAACCACGTTGCACCGTGCAAACGCTCCCTTATCAACATATGTCGGAACTCTTGAGCCTTCTTAGGCCGGGCGGCCTGAATGGACAGCGGTTTGGGTTGCATGCCAACCCCTGTTCTATCTCTTATGCCACTGGTGCAAAGCCTTATGGTCAAGGCCTTCTTATCGGCACTGTCTGGGATGATCTGAGCCCTCATTCATCGAGGTCGGCGGCTCGATCGGTGAACTATTCCTCCAAGCTTGGGACACCAGGAATTGCAAGTCTGCTGTGCGAGCCACGACAAGCTCCAGATGGAGGTCCTCTCTATTTCACTCTTCACACTTGGAGACTCGACTCTCCGCGTTCTTCTTCAGCCACCATCTTCACGTATCTTCACCATCTTGGCGAAGTGCGGAGACTGAAACCGTGCTCTTCACCATCTTCGCTCCATCCGACCTGGAAGAAGACCAAGGGACCCCACAAGATCGGGTAATGCGTTCAGGAACTCACCACTGTGATGTGCCCACCGCGGCAAAGTGCCACTTCTGTAGCATGGTCGGAGCATCCACCGGCAGGTCCTTGATCGCGAGGTTGGGGTCGTGATGGGCCACACAGCCACACAATCTTGCTTCGCGTTTGCAAGAGATCTCGGGTTGGCCTTCCTTTTGTGAGATTTATGTCCGACTTTACTTTTGCAAAAGGAATCATGACCTGATAGGTGGGCGGGGTCGATCACATTCCAACAAGGCTTGTAACATGAACCGCGTCGACCAATAGGATGTTTGGGTCCGCTCATTGAAGTCCATTGTGATGGGCGCTCACTTCCTGGAGTTTGGCACGCAAGTCATGTTTGTTCCTTGAGTGTTACTTGCTTTAGCAGCCATGGCCACATCTCAAATGAGGACGATGCCTGGTGATTGTTCAGTGATTGTTCATTATTGTTGGCGATAGAGGGGTCCCAACTATCGACGAAGACGCATGAAGACGCATGAAGACGCATGCAGAGGTACGAAGACGCATGAAGACGCATGCAGAACGTATTGCATCAATCTTTACGGCTTTCAAAGCAAGAGAAGAAAGAACAACTCTCACTCACACACACGCTCCCACTCTCACTCACTCTCCCACTCTCACTCTCACTCTCCCACTCTCACTCTCATTCACACTCACACTCACACTCCACACTCACACTCCACACTCACTTACACTCAAAATCGCACTCACTCGCTCTCACTCTCACTCTCACTCTCACTCTCACTCTCACTCTCACTTTCACTCTCACTCTCACTCTCACTCTCACTCTCACTCTCATTCTCACTCTCACTCTCACTCTCACTCTCACTCCACTCTCACTCTCACTCTCACTCACTCCCACTCTCACTCACTCTCACTCACACTCACTCTCGCCCACACTAAAAATCATTCTCACGCGTCGGCGCGCATCGTCACGCAGCGTCACGCATCGTCACGCAGCGTCACGCAGCGTCATGCAGAGCCACGCAGCGTCAGGCAGCGTCACGCATCGTCAGCGATAGTTGGACACCTTCACAAACCTATTTTCTTCATTTCAAAGTCCTCTCTCCATTGGATGAATTCTACATAGGGGCTGGTTCAAATGCCGGGAAGCGCTCCAACACCGTCACCACTGGACCACCACCAGCAGGGCATAGCACTCGCTTGTACACGCAGACAACGACTCGCTTGTACACGTGCATGTTGGAAGCCTTGGAAGCCTTGATATATAATGATAATGGCTGCACCGGCACATAACGCCCCCCAACTGTTTAAGGATGCGGTGTTTGCCACGAAGACACGACCAAATGCGGATCTTCATGGTGTCAGGTTGTTCAAGGATTCAGGTCTTCGATGCCGGCACAGGCAATCGCAGACAGGTGAAGACACAACAGCTCTATATTCGCACTTGGAGGAAGAAGGTGCCCTTTTTGTGACCGCCCGCGGAAAAAATTGGAAGAGGAAACCACTCCAACGATCTCGACCGTGGCATCGGCAAACATTGTGAATTGTCTGGGGGCAAAACTTGATAAACAGTTTAGAAAAATGTTCATCGTAGCATACGGCGTATCTTTTGTGCGCAAAAAGCCGGCTCAATCGAGTGCAAAGTTTGGAGGTGATGTTTTTTGCAAAGTAAGGTCGCATATCTTTTGTGGGGCGCCCAGGAGCAAAACTCGGAGAGGAGTAACTAGAAAGTAATCCCAAACGAATTTGAAATGGCACTCCATTGTAAAATGTTTGTCGTTAGCCAAGCGGGGAGCGGGGGGGCAAGACCAGGAGCAGGAAAAGCCACCCCGATCCGCAAGAAATCAACCTGAGGACGACCTAACGGAGCCTGTGCGCGCAAGTTGGCCGCAGCGGCTGCAAGTGAGTTGCTGCCGGCATAAAGGACTCAACCTCAGCCTGCTCGAATGAAATCATGTTGGCTTGTGCACTTCGTTTTCTGTGCTCATGCCCACACTCAGTAAACCAGAGGCCCGAACGCAGCCACTACAAAATTTTTTCAAAGCCAACGCGGTGACAGTGCCAAGGTCCCACCGCCCGCCGAGCAGGAAGATCAAATGGATACTTAATGAGGGGCGCATGTGTGAAATTTATGCAATTTTTCGGTTGTTTGTTAAATTTTTCGCTTGTTCTGGTACAAATTTTGTGTGCAGGCACAGGCAAATCCAGGAAGCGGGCGGTGATCACTAACATTAGACGAAGTTGGCTGCGCAGTTAAATTCAAAAAGGTCCCATCACAAAATCGTGCCTTGACAAATCCGTGCACCTCACTCATTCAGTATTTTTTCCGGGGTGCCATTTTACAGAAGTTAATAAACCTGTTTGTACATACCAAATGTTCCGTCTCAACGCCAAAATGGCAATTTGATCAAATGTGTAGATGTCTGGACCAAAGAGTATCAGTAGTCAAAGGGCCATGTGATGTTCTAGAGTATAGAGATACGTTTCCCAAAAGGACGAGGCTATTTTTGTAGATAGTCAAGTCTCATCACTACCCCCTTGCGGTGCTTGACCCCCGCGGCGGGGTCAAAATTGTAACTTGCTCACCCTCAAATATGTCTTACAATTTTTGAATGCACATGAGGGTCACTAGTGTAACTTACAATTTTGACCACTGTTTTGTTAGATGGAGGTTTTTTGAGACCTGTATGTTTAAATTTCCACAACCGAAGGGTCTTTCTTCAAGGGGGATCGTTTTTAGGTCCCAAAAGAACGGAAAGGGGGGACCGGGGGACCCATTGTTGGAGGTTCTCCGGAGCTCCAAAGTGGTGTGATCCTCCCCAGACACCTGCGAGGTGCAAAAGGTCAGGTGCTTGGACTTGGAAACCTGCACTGACACGCCCAAAATTGTAAGTTACATTTTTGACCCGCCCGGGGGGTAATAGTTATCAAATTTCTACAGACAAACCACGCGCGCACGCGTACTACAGAATGACGAGGCGCGCCGCACTTCGGAGACTTTTCCATAACCGTTTTTTAGGCTTGGCCTGGCCTGGCCTGGCCTGGCCCCATCAAACGCAATCCTGATCGCAAGGGGTGTTACCGATTACGGACTATTGGATCGCCCGGTTTGGTGCGGATTGCGGATTAGAACTGCGAGCGCCTGCTTTGGGACTTGGGCACGGATTACGGCATACAACGGAGTAAGGGTTGTTCGGTTCCCTTTTTTCCCTCGGATTGGTTGATTTTTTTGGGAGGTGCCATTTTGTAGAGCACGGAGCCGCGGTGCTGTCATGTTTGACAGGATCTCCAGGCCTTCATCCTCGTCCAACGCATCCTGCAAGCATGTCCTTCCCCACAATTTTTTTTCACACCACCCACTGTGTTTGTAGTTTGTAGCCCTTTTTCCTGGAGTTGCGACAGGAATATGAGAAAAAATAGAACAACAACGGGAATTTCGCTGACACACTTTCTGCATCCTAATTGGCCCAGCTGACGTGCCTGGTGACCAAACGGAGGTTCTGGTTTCTCCGCCGCCTTCACGCAACGTCTCTCATGTTTGCACTGTGAATCCCATGCCGCTCTGAACAAGACACGCGTTTGACAGTAAATTATACCACAGATGAACTTCCACTGGCACACTCATACCCAAGCCCGCCTCCTGACATTCCCTTTGCAGCAGTTTTTGCTGCTCCGCGATCTTGGGCACCGTAGCAAAAGAAAACACCGCCCTCCCAGAGGACCAAAGTGGATTTTGCACGAAGGACAGACGTTTATAAGATCTATAAGTTGAAGTCGCGACAGGCTTCTGCTCAGCTCCAAGCTCTCCTGCTCAGCCTGTGGCTAGAAGGCGATGCAGAGCATGGACTAAAGTATAGATTCATGTTCATTGGTTTCACATCTTGTTGGGGACCAAGGCCAGGCTGGCAGAATGTTCGAACTGAAGTTTAGTTGCCCAAGACCTTCAAACAATTTACTTGCTTTTGTGCAGGTTTTTGAAAATGCAAATCGGGCTAAGTATCGGGAGAAGTTGGCCAAAAGCTGCAATTGTATATCCGTCACTGTGTTCATACTTTGTATTTTCTCAAGAACTTCAACTGCCACACTCTTTGCACCCCAGTCAGCCCTTCGCGTCTCACACTGACGCCATTTGCTTGGGCCTTTCATACCACCCAAGGATTGCAAAACAGCTGTTCAACAATACAAAGCAACCGAACTTCCACGGGCACATTCTCCTCAGCCCAATTAGCCCAGCTGAAGTGCTTGGTCACCAGAAGGAGGTGCAGGCAACAGCGCCAGGCATAAGTAGTTTGAGGATCCAATTCAATTGCCCATATTTCCCCACAATTGTATCCAACTCATCAATCAAACAAACATCATCTAAAGTACAACTCTGTCTTCAAAATCTTTCAGGAAAGTAACATTCAAACATATAGAACGAGTGAAATTCTGAGTTCATGCCTCACGGCCTTATGGCTATGATCAAATGTAGAACTGTTTCACATGACACGTTACCGCAGGCGCCTTGGGCACAAATCTGTCGAGTTTGGTAGCGGAGCCTAGTGCTCCGTTGCCGATCCTTCCAGCGCCGCCATAGGCTGCTGGCGCTCGGCTTGGCTGCTACCGCGAGTTGCGCGGTAGGCTCTGGTCTGCAGGGCCTTTGGAGGAGGAGATCGAGATCCTGCTCGATCGGTGGCAAGAGGAAGTCAGAAGGCTCTGACGAGGACACAGAAAACTACCTCACTTGGGGTTGAACCCAAGAAGAACAAACAACACAGAAAACTACCTCACTTGGGGTTGAACCCAAGAGGAATAAATACTACATCCTTGAGAACCTCATCACAGGCCCCGTGGACTCCATCGATTACAACATTGCTGGACCATGAATCCACCAAGCTCTGGGAGCATTCCGCTCCAGGAGTATCGGCGGGACATTCCGCCGGGCTGGATTCCAGGTGATGCTTCGTATCCCTTGAGGACCTACTTCGACAAGCTGAAGCTCTGGTACCGGATTGCCAATGTGGAGGATGAAGCCATCGGTCCACTGGTGGCTGGACGACTCTATGGTCGAGCATCCACGATCGCCATGTCTTTGAGAGTGCCAAGGCCAGACGGCACCTTCGATGTCGGCGATGCAGCGCTGGTTCGACTAGCTGTGGATGAAGTCCGCGAAGCAGCGACCAATGTGATCATCCAGAACCACATCCCTTCAGGAGTGCAATTCCTGGCCAACGCACTCCGCACGGCATTCGGTCAGCAAGACCAAGATCTGGCGACACAAGCCCTGGACAAGTTCTTTGGCCTTGCAAGAGGAAAGCTCAGCCTGTCCGAATACAGCGTCGAATTCGACAGCCGGTACGATGATGCTCATGGAAGAGCTGGACTGCAGCTGAACGATGTCGGCCAAGACGGTTGATGACATCAAACTGCAGGTTGCTGGCGACTACACTCGCTTCAACGACGCTCGAGCTTTGGCATTGCGCGTCAACCCTAATCGGCGAGACCCTGATGACGCCCAGATCCTCTTTGAAGAGAACGATGAGTCCTATGGCGACTACGACGCCTACTACCAGGACTGGGGCGATGACTATGAGGCCGAGGATTCATGGTGGTATGGCTATGAAGAGGCCGATGAAGGTGAATGGGTCTATGAGGAGTACGCCAACGACGAGACCTACTATGAGAACCATGATGCCAGCGATGAGTCGTGGCAAGAGGTTGACCTTGAGGCTGGCATGACATCTGGTTCAGCAAGCGACTCCAATGTCTCGGGCGAGTACAACGAAGCCTACTACAAAGGAAAAGGCAATGGCAGTGATGAGGGCTGCTTCAACTGTGGCAGCAAGTTCCACAGAGTTCGAGACTGTCCACTTGGCAAGGGCAAGAACAAGAAGGGCAGTCACAACTACAAAGGAAAAGGAAAGTCAAAAGGCTTCTGGAGATGGCGACCCGACTTCAAAGGAAAGAGCAAAGGCAAGAGCAAGTATCCTTGGAGAAGCAAAGGCAAAGGAAAAGGAAAAGGCTTTGGTCGAAAAGGCCACTACTACGCCTACCAGGAGGAGGACAACTACAAGCCTCGTGGTGGTCTGTCGATCAGTGAAGGCATTCCCGATGCCTCAACTCCGCAAGAAGTTGCCACAAGCCCCAAGGAGGTCAAGACGACCAAGAGGGCCGAGAGCTTCGTGATCCACACGTCATCCGAGGATGAGGACTTCAAGAAGCCAACGGACGGATATTCAGGTCAGCCTGAGTATACTACGAAGGATCGCTATGACAAGAAGCTCAAGATGAACTTCATGGTCTTCAACATGAAGAAAGAAGAGACACAGATGAGCTACCACACCATCCATGGGCAGGAACGCTATGGTTTGCTCATCGATCTCGGAGCTGCATCCGGGCTGGTTGGCAGCGAGGCCCTCAGAATGCTCAAGAGTTGCTCCATGGGCGAGATGGAGATCAACCGCAACAAGATCACTCCAGTTTCCGGCATTTCAGGAAACAGCGAGTCAACTCTCGGAGAGGTCACGTTGACCATGGCGACCGCAGGACAACCCATCACCTACACGGCGGAGGTCATTGGTGGAGCTGGAAGCCTATGCCCAGCACTGGTTGGCAACCCGACTCTTCGTCGATTGGGTGCATCAATCTTGACAGATTGGTTCGAGAATGGTGATGGCATGCTTGTTCTGAACACCAAGGACGCCATGGATGCCGAGGTCAATCACGTGAAGTTCTTTAGGATCCTGCTCACAGATTCTGGACACTACATCCTGCCTTGTGACAACGTTCAGAACGAGAAGGTTCCAAGAGCTTCGAAGCACGAGGCCATTGCTTTCTTCCAGAAGATCACCGAGATCACTTCGAAAGTTTGGCCTGACGTGCAACCACGGGTCAGACACTGCTTCCATTCCCAGACGGCGGCAGAGGATGACCGGTGTGATTACAATCGTGGACATGAACGAGACAAAGGCCCAATGAAGAGCCAAGATCATGATGTTGGTTGTGATCATTTGGCTTGCGAGAATGGAGAAGAAGATGAACTACGTAATTCTGTTCCTTCCAGGAAGATTCACTTCATCGATGAGGAACAGCAGAAGAAGTCCGAGGAGCCCTACGACCTCATGAACAGCGAGAAGAACAAGAGCCTATCACCAATTGCAGAAGAGCGCGACTCCGAGGACGAAGTTTCACCATCAGCCATTTTGGCAGAGCAGTGCATGAAGAACGACAAGAGCAAAGAGCCTGCGAAGAATTCAAACCACTTGATCAACGAGCACCCTGCCGGACCTGCCATTTTGGCCCCGGCAATTCACGATGAACAAGGCCTACGTGAGGCAAGCTATGATGAAGAGAAGAACGTCTTCCTCAGCTACACTGGCGACATGATCCCCGAGACGGCAGATCAGGCCAAGTTGAAGAAGCGCTACAAAGCAATCCCTGAGGAGTTCTACACCAAGAGCGGATTGACGCCGGTGACTCCCAAGAACTTTGACAGCTGGTTCAAGAGAGTTCGAGGACGAGGATTGCGATGGCACTTCTGGGAGCTGTTCAGTGGCAGTGGAAGATTGTCGCTGACGTTGCTTCTTGCCGGACTCATGCTTGGTTTCCCCGTCGACTACCGGTACGGCTGGGACATGCGAGTAGCAAGCCATCGTGGTATGATCCACGCAGCTTACGAAGAGTTCCAACCTGGAGTGCTTCATATGTCTCCGGACTGTGCACCATGGTCAGTTGCGGCATCTACGAAAGATCCTGATGAGAAGATGTGTGAACGTCTCCAAGATCGACCTGCTCTACAACTATGTCAAGATCTTTCTGCACGACAAGATGCCAATGGCCGTGGCTACAACATAGAACAACCTTATGGAGCACAATCATGGCAAGAACTTCCAGAGAATCCTCTACGACTGCAACGAATTCCTGGCAATAAGAGCAGACAGAGAGTGGACCAGTGCATGCATGGAGCTCAAGATGAACACGGCTACCCCATCATGAAGCCCACTGGCTTTGGATCCAACCTTCGTTGGAAGCACACTGGACTTCGATGCGGAGGTCATTGCGGTGTTCCACATACTCAGCTCAAAGGCACAGGCCAATCTGGTCTGACCAGGACCTCGATGTCAGCGCATGAAGCAGGACATCATCCAGTACCTGTCCTACATGAACCTGCTCAAGCTGAAGACTTGGCCACAGGATGCCTACGCAGTGACGCTTGGTCACTACTATGATTGTGTCCGATGCCAGCTTGGACGTCATTGTCCTCGCAACATAGAGCACACTTTGGTGCCTGGACAGTGTCGACATGGACGATGGCCATCCGAAGAAAATCCACGAAGAAAGAAGAAGCTTGAAGCTGAAATGGACGCCATGAAGAAGTGGAAGCAAGAAGCCGAGGCGGAGCTCTATGAGGGCGTGGAGATCAAGAACCTCACCAGCAAAGCGCTCTCCGTGCCAACTACACACATGCTCAAGAAGCTCCTCCTCGAAACCATCAACGCCACTATGGGTGTCTTCAATGAAGCAGCAAGAAGGAAGATTGACTATGTTCACTGGTTGGACAATCCTATGCTCATGAGCCTCTTCAAGGAGTTCTTCAAGGACTTGATTCAAGTCAAAGGAGTGAAGATTGAACTCCGACCTTTCCATCTTGCATCAGCAGAGCCGAAGCTTCCATTGACATCATCATACCTACGGATGCAAGTGAGAGGCAATGTGAAAGCATGGGACATTCACCCTCCAGAAGATTTGCGAGAGATGAGTTTCAGCCAGATCAACGCAGCACTCGACGAGGATGACTGGGCAATCACCATTTATGGAGTGGAGCACGATATGGCACCTTCGCCATCAACACCAGCATCAAGGCCAAGAACAAGACCTGATGAACCTGGTATCGTGCAGCCTGCCCAGAACCTCGACGAGATGGATGAGAAGAGCATAGCTGATCTCAAGAGAGCACCTTTGACACCTCCAGTGGTACTCGATCGACCAGGAGACCCAGCTGAGCGAGATCCAACTCAGATTGCACCTTATGAAGATGAAGAACTGCAGACAAAGTCAGTTGAGGAGATCAAGCCATTGAAGCCAAACTACAACTTGCGAAGAGTGTTGGTTCGCATTCCTAAGCTCATGGAAGACGAGAACCACACGAAGGTCAAGCAACTCCTACTTGGTCTTCACGAACGGCTTTGGCATTCGCCGATCTCCGACTTCACGAATTTACTGCAGAAAGCTGGAATGTCACCTGAAGTTATTAAGCTGGCGACTGAGGCGGTTCAATGCTGTGCCATCTGCAGGAAGTATGTCAGACTTCCCAATCGTCCACAAGTTCGAGCACGAGGAGCAAGCAGTTTCAATGAATCAGTACAGATGGACCTATTTATGTGGGAGAACAACTGGTTCATGCTCCTTTGTGACGAAGCAACTCGCTTCAAAATGTGCACGACGATTGAAGGACAAGAATCTGACGATTTGCTGACGGCATTTAAGAAGGCATGGATCTTTCTCTTTGGACCACCTCGTCGACTTGTTCTCGATCAACAGGTATCCTTGATGTCACATGAGACTGCAGCAGAATTTGAACGACTCTCCATTGAGCGTGCGCCCCGTGGCACAACACAAGGACATGGAGCCGAACAGCACACTGGCACTGGCTTGGTGGAACGACATGTGGGTCTGATGAAGCTCACCATGTACAAGCTACGAGCTGAACTACAGAGACAAGGCCTCGCGCCAGAGAACGAAGAGATAGCTCAGGAGAGCTGCATGGCTCACAACATCGCCTTGTCCTACGGTGGCGTGACACCATCCATGGCGTGTTTGGCACTCTTCCAAATGGCTTCTATGATCCTGAGAGCCGTGGCATTATGAGTGTTGTTGGAGCCCAGGAGACAGATGTCACTGTCTTTGAGAAGGCGATGAGAATCAGGCAAACAGCACTTGCACAAGCTCATCAAGCTGTGATTGAAGATCGTGTAGCACGAGCAGCCAGAACCAGGACACACCAGCTCGACCTCGACCAGCTCATTGCTGGTACATCAGAGGTTGAATTCTACAGAGAGGTGAAGAATGACCCTGGCTGGCGTGGACCTGCTTTGTTGCTACGACTTGACGCTGATGACGGTGTGGCAATCATCCAATATCAGGGAAAGCCATATCTGGTAGCACTCCGACACATCCGATCCTACAAGGGCATTTTCCACTTCACCTTGCCTAATAATATGGAGACAGAAGATGCCTTGCGGAAGCTGATGAGATTTGTCGAAAGCCTCACAGAGTACAAGACGAACATCTATGGTTGGCTGAGGAGAGATGGCAAGTGGCGATTCTTCCCTCGTGAGGATGATCATGCAACGAAGATCATGTTGTGGGTGCAGTACATCTACAAAGGTTTGAGCAAGCATCAAGTCCATGGAGCTCTACTTGGACGAAGCTTGCGGAACATCAAGCCTCCATCGAACACAGTTGGTCATCTCATCTCATGGATTCATGGAGGACAAGGCTACGCCGTGCAAGAGCACTTCTCCGACGGATTCTTGAAGATGAAGAGGGTTTCCAACTACTCTCGTGAAGAGATGTGCACAATCTACTTGTTCCACTATCATCCTGATCCTGTGGAAGAGCCAGCAAGTCAGTCGACCATCAATAAGGATGACGACAAGATGGACGTCAACGTTCCCGATGACAGAGGCGAGAAGAGAGATGCACCAGAGACCAGAACAGTGGTCATGGCACCTGAGAAGAAGAGGCAGCGCATCTACAATGTGAAGAAAGAGCTCGATTTTCTACGACATTTGTATGTCAACATGACTGAGAACCACATCATTCAGATCGATTGTGGACATGATTGGTTGACAGGTTGTCACATGTGGTCAGAGGTGTGCAATCAGTTCATGGTGGAACAACATCTCCGGGAGAAAGAGAAGCTTCCTCAACTGTTCCACTTCCACTATAAGAAGACGCATCAAGCGTATGCATGCCTCAGAACTGCAGAGATCTACCAGGTAGATCAGGAGACTCGCAACATTGAAGAAGCAGACATCACGGCCGACATTTGGCCTGCTGTTGAAGAAGCTGATCGCAACGAGATCAAGCAGTTTGTTGACGAGAAAGCATTCGCAAAGATCCACAAGATGAAGATCACAGGAGAGTACGTGCAGATTGATGCACGGTGGGTTCGCAAGCGAAAGCGCTATCCTGACAGGAGCATTCGCATCAAGTCTCGACTTTGTGCACGTGGTTGTCTGGATGAACAGAAGGGCGAGCTCACGACAAGATCAACGACTGCGACAAGGCTAAGCCAAAGGATCCTGGTATCCCGAGCATCGTGGTCACGCAAGATGAGCCTGGAAAGCTTGGACATTGCTGGAGCATTTCTCAAGGGCTTTGACTTTGAGAAGATTCGAAAGACCCTGCAGAAGAAAGGCATTCAAGCACCTGTCCGCATGGTGGTGATATTTCCTCCACTTAATGTTTGGCGACGTCTGGCGGAATTCTCTGACGAGTTCAAGGTTCCTGAACGAGAGTTGCACAACTATGGATTGTTATGTTTGAAGCCTGTTTATGGGTTGAATGACGCTCCACTGGCTTGGCAGTTTTCTCTACATGACTTCATCCGAGAAAGCGGCGCTGAACCATCTCACCTAGATGAAAACTGTTGGACATGGAAGAAGGATGGTGAGAACATTGCAATGGTCACGACGCATGTGGATGACTTGGCGATCACTGGAACGCCTGAGTGGCTGGACGATGCATATGATTCCTTTGTCAAGAAGTTTGGCAAAGTGACACGACAGCAATTGCCATTCACTCATTGTGGTTGTGAGTACCTTCGTACTGCAGACGGCTACATGATCAGCCAGCAGGAGTTTTCAGAAAAGATCACACCTGCACCTGTCCCTGCAAGAGAAGATGATTCCAGATTGACACCAGCAGAAGTTTCAGATCTGCGATCCATCCTAGGAGCACTTCTTTGGGTGACAGCGACACGGCTGGACGTGATTGCGGATGTCTCAGCACTACAATCACGAGTGACAGTAGCAGAGGTCAAGGATTTGAAGCAGGCAAACAATGTGTTCATGAAGGTGAAGGAGTTTGCAGATGTTGGTTTGCACTACCGCTACTTCAGGACAAGGCATCGACGACTAGTTTGTTTTCATGATGCTTCGGCAGCCAGCAAGGGCCGGAACTATGCCCAGGAAGGTGTAGTCATTGCTTTGGCCGATGACGAATGGCGGAACATCACGATTGACTTTGAGCACACCTGCGAGACTGAGGAGCACGAGCTCATGCGTGGAGGAGTAACGCATGTTTTGCATTCACATGGAGCAAAAGCCAAGAGGGTGAGCTACAGCACATCACATGGTGAGACACTAGCCATGGTGAACGCCTTGGAATCTGCAACCTTGTGCATGATCAGACTCAGCGAGATGCTACATCCTCAACATCCTCCATCGTTGAAGGACCTCATCAAGATCCAGACGGCTGGAAATCCAGAGATGCCTTTGGACATGTATGGAGACGCTCGAGATGTCTATGAGCTCATCACGGGCAGCAAGACGATGCCTCAGGACAAGACACAGCGGCTTTACGTTTTGTCCATCAAGGAAGCACGACTGGATGGCAGAGTTCGAATGGTGACATTGGTCCCAACGAACTACATGCTGGCCGATTCCCTCACCAAGTCCATGGTCCATGAAATGATGCTGATGTTGTTGACAACAGGTTTATTCAGACTGCATGGAGTGGAGAAGCACCAAATTGTGACAAGGGTTCTTCCGACCATCGACTTTGATGAGCGCGACCTTATGCTGAAGGACGAGGAGATGATCCTGAAAGCAGAGAAGGATGAGAGCATGGTGCGAACGACACATGCTTCAGTGCTTGTGGGACTGGCAGCGTTTGCCACTTCCAAGAAGATGCTGGCGGCAATGATGCCGACTTTGGCATTTGGAACTTTGGTGGATGCGCAATCCACTGAACCGGAGAATCAAGAGCAGAAGAGCTACTTCTTTGTGTACCTCATGATTTTCATCACGGTGATTCTGGCGGTGATGCTTGAGAGAATGGTGACAAGTTGGATGAGCAAGAAGAGAAGAATCCAACCTGTGAAGATCGAGTCCGACGACGACGACGACATGGATGTCGATCAAGAAGGAGATCAACCATCATCTTCAGGAGCATCCTTCCACCGGAAGAGGAAAGCAAGTCCTCGAGACACATGGGAAGATCTTGCACGAAAGGTCATTGACGAGAAGGAGACGCTGAAGCGGAAGAACAAGAAGAGCGAAGAAGATGCACACCTACAGCAACAGGAGATCGACAGCCTCAAGTTTGACAACGAATGGTGGAAAGATAAGTATGAGAAGCTTGAGGAGAAGTACGATGACAAGGACTTCGAGCTGAAGAACCTCAAGAATGACATGACAGTGGTCACAGCAAGGAAGAAAGTGCTCGAATCCACGGTCAGCGACATGAGAGCTGGACTAGTGAAGCTTGAAGATGAGAATGCTGAATTGAAGATGAAGCTGGACAGGAAGACGGCAGCATCATCAGAGAGACCAGCACCGCCGACACCAAGGATCACTGACAACGCCGAGATGGCCGGCGAGATCGAGAAGCTGCAGAAGATGGTCAAGTTCAAAGACCAGGAGATCATGAGACACCTGGCTCGCATCAAGAGCTTGGAGATGCCAGAAACCATCTTCATCACGAAGACTGGCAAGAAGTTCCATCGAGAAGGATGTCCACATCTGAGAGAGGGCGAACAGGTGAGGCAAATGCAGCAGCTGTTGTGGCTGAGCATTTTTTTCTGGCTGGAAGAAGCCAGATTTCCCAGACCGAGCGATCAAGAGGATGACCGGAGTGAAATTCTGAGTTCATGCCTCACGGCCTTATGGCTATGATCAAGTGTAGAACTGTTTCACATGACACGTTACCGCAGGCGCCTTGGGCACAAATCTGTCGAGTGAACGATCCAATGTCTTCAAAACAATCGATACTTGAGTTTTGTTTCCGAGGCCTTGGGTCTGTCCGCTCCCAGCCCACCCGAAAACATCATGGGATGAAAATGCAATTCAGTCTCCGCGTTGTCTCACAAAATTCATTGTTGAAGGTGTAGAGAGGATGGAGCGTGCAAATGATAGAGGGTACAAAATCAAACAAAAATGTCAAATCTAAGGATATCAATGGTTATCGATGGTATAGGATCACAAACATAAAAGATCATTTAGACCCTATGCAACAATGGAATTGGACCTTCTTTTCAAGTCTCAGCTTTATAAAATCTTTTGGCAGGTTCTCGTCGATTTGGCTTTGGGAGAGCACAGAAAATATAGCATTTGGGTAGGGAATTTCATGCTCTCGTTGACCCCTTTTTATGATTTCAAGCAACCATGACCAACAGGGTTTAATTGTATTTTTGTTGGGAATGATATTTCACAGCGTGCACCATGAAGTTTTTGGGCGGGCCAAAAGGTGTGACCGGTGATGTGATGACGTGATGGATTCCAGCAGTCGTGGGTTCAGACATGCCAAGGCAGCAGGACACAAGATGAACATTTTTGAGGAACACAACCCGATTGTGTTGTGAGCCTTCCGGGCCACATGAATGCATTGCACAGTTTCCCACACTCACATGCCTCACATATCAACCAAATTGCGTTGGATCTTCCGGGGCGTCCCCATTGAAGGCAAGGTGTGGAAGAGCAGAAAGTAGACAAGTTAGCAACGCTCATATTGTAACCGGCTGCTTATTCAATTTGCAGGACATGCGATTGGCTCGATGGCTGGCCTTGACTGCCGTGGTGCTGGCTCAGTTGTGTCCTCATGTTCGGCCCTGCAGCAAGTGTGGGTGGGATTGACAGTGAGTCTGTGACCGCGGTGTGCGCAAGAACTTGGTTCAAAACCGAGCGAGTTCCAACCGCAGCCATGGAAACTTGGCGGCACTTAAAGCAAGCCAGAAAAAACACTTACTAGAATTGAAACCAGTCAACCCCCAGAAACCGACCATGAGGTTTTCGGGGGCGTTTGCAGGATGCGCGGGAGGTGGCTTCACAACCCCTGCACCGGAGGACAAGTGTAGCGGAAGGCGCGTGGGTGAGTGTGGGTAAACCATCCGCTGCCATGCCCCTTGAGACAGGGAGGGAATGAGAGGGAGAGGGAAATTGAATCGTTGCTCAGTAACATTCCACAACGACGTCACGCAGAGTCAGTGGCCATTGTGCAAAGGGGTGCTACAACCTTTGGCAGGACAACCAGGCAGACAGCTTGAAACGTCAGGCACAATTTTTCAGATTTGCACTGAAACCGAAAAGTACCCGCACAACGGTTTGTTTTTGCATGCGTTCATTCAAGGTAGGCAGGGTCGGTGATGAGTTGTTGAATTGGATCAGTTCAGATGCATTCCTTTTGTGAACCATGGTGCAAAAATGTACCAACCAAAAGGAAGGTCACTCCAAGCCATGTCGCGGCTGAACGAGCAGAGACACTGCTGGAGTTCAAACTATCTTTTTCAAAGTGCTTTGGCTAATGTGGCACTGCCACGGTGACCCACGTCGCAGGTACCGACCAGGTACAGCCCCGCCAGGGTTTCGTTGTTTTTGTTGTTTTGGGGCAGCATTATGGTTTTCGTCGGTAACAGCAGAAGTTCCAGGGTCAACAAGGGACCGAAAATGTCCCGCTTGACCGAGCAAAGTTACAACCAAAAAATTGTGAAACAAGGTCATGTGTGTTAATGATAACCTCTCCGGCACGGTTGGCGTCATGAAACGATCTGGTCCTGCAAATGATGTTTTGCGACTGCAGGCAGGGCCTCCATGAGCAGAAACCATGTCCGTGTCCACACTGATTTTGGGTCAGGAATCACCTATTGGCCTATCCAAAGAGAGAGCAAACGCAACAATGTGAACCGAACAAAGACATTGGCATTTCATTGCTTCCCCCAGGCGCGTCACACTCTCGACAATCAAGGGCCTCCAGGGTCCAAAAGTCGTGGATCGTGGAAGAGGGAGCCGCAACACGAATCTCAGCCGCTGGGCTGGACACTGGTGCTGGTGGGCGGGCTGGGCCAGGGCGTCCAATGAACAATCTCATTCTGGCAACTTTGAAAGGTCGAGGATGCGGTGCAAGCTGGCATTCAAGAGCAGCAAGAATCCTTGAGGATTGCATCTTGAATTAATTGGCAAGTTTTTTGATAATTCATGCATGCTCCACCCCCCTGCTGCTCAATGTGCCAGGCATACTTCCTCAAAGTTTGTTTGAGCTGGGGAGTGGAAGTGTTCAAGGGTGGAAATTGATTCAGACTTGAATCTGAGGTGAGGAACACCACTCGGTTTGCTACAGTCATGTGTGCCAGCAGCCAAGTGAGACTTCCGCTTTGCAGACTGGCCTTTGCAGGCTGGCCACTGACCACAGACTGGTCGCTGAGGTAGTGATTGCCTTCACAAAGATCAGCATTTACATGATAACAGAGGCAGATGTCGTCAGGAGGGCCCAAGGGTACACACATACTCGTTTCATTCGTCTCCAGTTTCATGTCGGATGCTGCTTGATGTAGGACATCAGCTTTGGATTCCTTGGGTGATTTGATGGCCAATATGATCACGCTCCTTGGAGAAGAGAAGACTCAAATCCATCCCCCAAAGCGCACGTGGCTGAGGCTTTACACCGGATACCGGATGTCCCAGGTGGACCCAAAGCGGCTGCTCGGAGCGAACCCCCGGGTGACACACGGCCGGGAGAAGAGGTGTCAAACCTCTTTATTCGACCGACATGAGATTCTAGTCCATGGTGGATGCATTTCCTGAATCAGAATCTTTCATACTCTTGGTCCTCTTGGTTTTCTGTGGGGAAGGGCCACAAATAGGCTTTCAATCGCAACCTTTTTGTGGGGTCTTGTACAGTTGCTTTTAGCAGTTTTATGCAACTGCTGCCATGTTGAGGTATCCTGCGGGACAGGGCAAGTTTCAGAGCATTGGATGTTTGGCCATTTGGATGCAGACTTTGAGGAAGTGCTTGCCACATCAACTCTCTATTTTGCTACATGGCTGTCATTGCGCCTAACCGTTACCTAACCTGCAGCATTCCAAAGCTGCCTTAGGTCTTTAGCACGCTCATGTTTGCTGGCTCCTTAGACCATGTACTTCTGCAGCGCGCGAACGAGTGAAAAGCATACCGACCCCATTCATGTACCTCTTTCTCACAGAACATCGGGCTTTGCTTTGCGCACGGTTCTGAGGCATTGATGTTTGGCAATGCGATTTCGAATCTTGGCTGCCTTGGCTATCGCGCGAATAAGGGCCGGCCCGGGCTCACAAACCTGACCTCAGGAACCTGGAAGGCCTGGTCGAGAGCAAGGATGACGTCGGATTTAAGGCAATCAGCAGGCCCTTGAGACGAATGGAGACCAAGGGAGAAGAGAGCGACTTGAATGATTTGTGGTGGCACGTTTTGCCGATATGACAGGTTCTTTGATCAGACTCGCACTCTTCCAGAGTTTGATGCATGGCAGAGCGACCTCATTTGCGAGGAGGACTGGATTAGAGTCTGTGTGTGTGCTGAGTGCTGGCAGGCATTTGGAGAATTCTCGCCGTGTTTGCAACTTTGTCATGAAGCAAGAATATCCACTTGCCACTTGTCACAGGCAGGAGAGTGCATTTGGAAGGGCGAGACCAAGATCGTCAATCCACTGATTCTCTACTTCAAGGAGAATGGTACCGTGGCTTAGGGCTTAGGGCCTAGCCTAGGGTCATGCGGTGCCTTGAGTGATTGCACTCATGGTGCGGAAAGGTGGCCATTTGATGGGCGAAGCCAGCGAAGCCTGGTGGTTAAGAGATTAAGTTAAATATTATGAAATAGATTGAAATAATGGTGGTTGTGCAGTTGAGAGGGCATCTCCAAAAAGTCGCCGAAAGAAATGCTAGGAACCTTGGAGTTCTGTGGCTGACAGGTACCGCAGATGAAAAACTGATGGCTGTGGCTTGGGCTGTGCAAATGGTACTGCTTCACAACCAATCGAGTTTCAAGTTTCAAGGACTCCTGGAGGGTGGCCAACATACAGTACAGGACAACCTGGAAGCAACAGCATATTTGCAAGGTCCTTCCTTTGCTAGCGTCGGTGTTGCTGTCATCTCCAGCACTCTGAGACCAGTAAGATTACACTGTCCTCCAACCCAAAAGCAATGCCCTCCAACCTACTAGCGAAGGCCTCCACCTGAAGGGAAACAGGATCGCCTTTTATGATCGCGTCATTGCTGAGGATTCGATGAAAGATATGGTGACACGGGAAGAGTGTCGAGTCTGCAGTGCAGTGATGTTCGAGGCAGATTTGTTTTTGACCACCATGGCATGCTTAAGGCTCGTTCAGACAATTTCTCTTTATGAGAATGCAGCGGAGAAATGGGCAGAGTTGAAGATGCTTGTCATTGCTGGGCTGGGATTGCTCTTACTTTTGGGCTTCTTCTTCCCAAAAATCGATTGGTAATAGTGGTGCTTTGCATTGACAACAGCGACAGAGCTTCATCAAGACCCAAGTCCGCAGGGCCAAGTGCAGCAGTTGATTGCCCAATGTACAATTGCCGTCCACATTCGAGGATGCAGAACTTTTTCCTTGGGTGCTGCGCCTCATACAAGTGACACAGCTGCAGACTTCATGTGGTGATAAGATAGTGCATGGGTGGATGTTGCTGTTCTAATTGGATCATTTTTCTATAATGGGTGGTCAGAAGCACGTTTGGAATGATATCATATTCTGAGAGGACTTTTTCCTGCCAGATCACGTCCTTCTTCCCTGCACAGCAGCGTCGGGATGGCCATTCAGTTGTCCCACCGGTGGACCGACTCAGTGAGTAGGGGGACCGCCTAAAGAAGTACCTGTAACTAATAGCGATGCACCTGTTACTAGTAGCTCCGATTGATCATGCCCGATCATCCCCGCGCTGGGTCGGCGGCTTGCAGCGCCTCCAAGGGTTACGCCTGAGAACGGGCCGGACAGGCAAGGGCAGGTGCAGGCGCGAGGCGCAGGCGCAGGGAAGATGCAGGTCACTTGGATCAAGGCAGTCCTGGTTGTTCTTCTGGCAGTTGTCGTTGTGGTAGTCGTCGTCCTTCACCTGCTCCTGCGCGCTTCTAATTTTCCACAGCACCGCCGATTTTCAACCTTTTGTTATTTTTTTGGGGGTGGTTCCTTTTTGTTTGTTGCCGCCCGATGCTTGGGTGGTTAGTCTGTTTCTGCGCCAGAGCCTCTTCGCTTTCGCTTTCTTTCTCTTTCTCTTTGTCCTTCTCTGCATGAGGAAGAGAAGAAGAGCAAGCAGAAGCGCAAATTGCTAATAATGCAAGGCCACTCGGGCCGCATATCTCGAACCACGAGAACGACCTCACAGCCATCAACGTCTCAATCTTCAATCTTTGAGCTATTTTGGGCTCCGTCCACGCCCTCCCAAGTGGCCTGCGAGCTTCCAGCGCCTGGTCGCCGCGGTTGCTGGGGTTGCTAAAAGGTCGGCGGTCCTGGGCGCACCCTGACCCCGACCTCCGGTAGGAGGGAGCGCCTTTGGCGACGCACCTGCCGGAGGTAAGCAGGGCTGTGAAAGATATAAGCCAACTTTATTAAGTTCATTGCGTTTATATCGTTCTGTTTGTTTTCAAGCACACCGTGGACTTTTATGTAAGCCAAGTGTTCAAGACAATAAATATGGCTTGTGGGCGCCTTGCTCTAACCTGCTTTCGCTCGTGAAGCCTTCGAATCCTGGACACCTGTTTATTATTGTCTCAACCAGTCGTACTTCCACACCAGTAATGGGCAAAGACAAAAACAAGTGCATTTCGGAGAGCTTGCGACTGAAAGCCAAGAATATTACCAGTCGAAGCGCGCATGGCGTTGTTGTCTTGAAGAGCTCAACGAGATGGCGCCGCCCGAGGAGGGCTGTGAAGCAGATGCTGCAGGCTGCAGCGTTGTTGGCGCTCTCGACTCCGCAGGTCTGCCGTGGGACTGGCGTTGTCCGTGTGGCAGGCTGATGCGCCTAGAAGGAGAAAAGCGACAGATGAGAATGCCACATTCGGAAGCTGCAATTCGATTTGAAGAGATCATTTTCGTCAACCGTTTGCGCGCAGTCGTTTTGTTTGTCCTATCCTTAGCTTTTGGAAAAAGCGACCCAAAAACAAAAAAAACAAGAACAATGGGTCAGCTGACGGCACGGGGGAGTCGAACCTGAGACCATCTCGAGGCTGTGCCTATTTTAGCCTAAGAAGGCAAGGAAGATGACGCTCCGAGATGGACAATCCAATGCCAAAAACAAAGGTAGAACCGATGGAGATTAAGCCAGCCCTCCAGGACTCTCCAGGAGGGTAAAATCACCCGCGCCAGACCCCACTCAGCCTAAGCATATAGCATAAGCGTACTGCATAATGAGTGCCTCCCCGGTGTTTGCCACTGAGGTTGTTATTGATGTCAGTTGTGCTTTTCTTTCCAAAGGGGGCCAAGAAGCCTCCAGACTGCCACCACATCCCCGGAATGTAAAAGTACCAGTCCTTCTGCACTGTAGTTGAAGGGCAGAATGATGGCCTCCAACCTAATAGTGGTGGCCTCCGTAGCGACGGCCTCCACCCTGGTAGCGATGGCCTCCAACCCAACAGCACTGGCCTCCCTCTACCTAACGGACTGCCAAATTCAAGGTGCTGTTTATGGTTGTTTTGCATTTACTACGCCATCCCGAAGACTGGCTCCTCTGTGTTGGTGGCCCTGGCGACGGACAAACGCAACGACTTTATGTGTACGAGTGCCCTGCTGAGAGGTGTTGTGTGAGTTTTCGATAATTGCTTCGATGCGTGTAGGATCAAGTCAAGGGTTGTTAGACGTGCCTTTCCGATCAGGTTTTGTCATCCTAGTGACTTTCGCCGCCGCATCTTTCAAGCAATTGAGAGAGTGAATGCCACGGTTGGAGTGCGGATTCTTGTTTTTTTTCCTAGCCCAGGCTTACTTCTTAAAAGACAATCAGGAGCTGGAGGACAAAGTTGATCCCTTTGTGGCTCAGCTTATGCCGGAAGGCTGTGTCCTGTGACCCTAACGTTCCCAGCAGTCATTCTGATCCAAGTCTTTGTAAGGCCTTGATGTATGCAGCTTTAAAACTCTAATTGCCCATTCTTGCATTGTGCATTTAGCATGCCAACTGCGCCTACTCCGCGCAAATTGAATCAAAGCAGATGCACCTGTGGGAGAACAGCAACTTGAAGAATCTTGCAACATTCACAAAAGCCCACCGACAAAAGCCAATTGAAGTTTACATCATTGGTTGCACGAAACGTGTCAGAATCTTGCACGGCACAGCCTGGCTGCATTCTGAGGTGTCTCTTTTGCTCTCCTTTATCATTATGTGCCACGGCAATGCCAGATTAGTCATGGACCGCAAGCTGGAGCATTAGCACGAATTGGTTAGCTCTGGGACCCAAATCCCCCACTTGGAGCTCCCCTTGCCCTCGGGCTCAACACCACCAGTTTGGTATTCATGTTTGCAGTGGTTTGGTGTGGTGTTTGGTTTGATGGTCTTGGTCTGAGACTTGGGAAGAACGGTTCATCGAAGCTTGGGCACAAGACTGGTTTCAGTCGTCAACTTCCTGGGGGAAAAAAACTGCACTTGCTGTTCTAACTCGCTCCCCGCTGTCCGTTTTTTCTGGAGCTGAGATGAGAAAGATGAGGAATGATCACGTTCCCATCAGAAGAAGGTGTGGCTGAATCTGGCTGGAATCAGGTTCCAACTCAAGTGCAAAGTTAGAGGCTTGCTGTAGGCAATCTGCCTGTGAGAGGGGTACCACATTCATCCTTGTTAGCATCCCCCTATGATTCCCAAATCTTCAAAGGAGTTGCAGGGTGACGCCTAGCACATACCAGAACTCCAGAATTTTGAAAGCAAGCCGTGTTTTGAGGGATTTCAGCTTCGTCAGGTATACATGGTCGCAGTTGATGCACCTCAGCTGCAGATCAGCAATAAACCTACGGAGTTTTCAAAGTCCGGTGAACATTTAGAGCATTGCCATCACCCAGCAAGCCACATGGCACGCAAACGACAAAACTGATGAATTTTATCCTGAGCTTGCCTGCTTGGTCAGGATTGAGCATATCACTCTGCTGAGCCAAGAGGCTTCACCGGCAGAATTCCGGGCTGGAGTTGAAGCCGAAGTGCGCGGAGTCGTGAAGGAGCACGAATTTCCTCAGAGTCATTGACACAACGAAAGCTGTGCTAGATCGCCTTTTTTCCTCAGATTTGATTTGATCTACCACAGTGAATCCGCAGATCGACTTCTTAGAGGTGTGGCATCTCTGTTCCCCAAGACGTTTGTTTGCTGCAAGTTGCACCCCGAACTCAGCTTTGCGGATCTTTGTGGTGCCGGCTTACCCAAGCAAAGTTGGCATCACAAGTTGCCTCGAGAAGTTATACAGGAAGATTCGCCTTGCACTGTGGACAGCTCAGACGTCAAAGTCTACGTCTCTGGCTTGGGCCACACGGTGGAGGCACCTTGCTCTTCAAAACATTGAGGCAAGTACTTGCAAGAAAGCAAATCCCTTGATGATCTTGATGCTAATTAAAACACAAAACGATACACTTGGTTAGACTCAGGTGACGCTAGTGGCCAAGTCTGAAACTTGCCCGCAAAGGTGGATTCTTCAAGCTCCTCCAGACATTTAATTTGTAGAACTGCAGATGGAAGAAATTCATGAACAGTCTCGAGCTCATAAACATGCACTTCGTGTGCCTGCTTGCAGTCGTCTCAGACAACTGCAGCCAAGGACAAAACTTCATGCGCAGAGCTATGTCTCATGGCACAGGTTCTCAGGAGAGATGTGTGCTAATTGCAGTTGAGTGTTTTTTCAATGACCGGTTGGCCAAAGTTGGATGCTCAGAATAGGTATTTCATGTGGGATAGGTTGAATTACATGCATTGCACGCCATATTCACATCTAGGGTGCAGCCGCTCACTTCCGCAGGAAGCGACTGATGCAGCCGCTCAGCGCAAAGCTGGTAAGCGTTCTTGGCTTGAAAGCGGAAACTCTCTGCAAGGGCTGGTTTCACATGAGGCAACCTCAAAATTATCATCAACCACTTTAGTAAGGGACGTTTCATCTCTGTGTTGCTTTCGTAATTTTCCTTGAAAAACGATAGGGGACTGACAAAAAACGATACCCCTGTGTTTACATACTTGCAAAATCCAAAACCATGGAAAACGATAGGGGACTGACAAAAGTGAAACGAAAACACTCCAAGCATATATTTTTGACGCTAACTCACATAAACTTAGGCTTGAGGATATGGAGCGCGCAATGGTCTTCATGGAAATGCCACAGTCTGGAGCATGAGTGCGTGTAGCACTAGCTACAATCAAAGCTTTTCGAAAGAGTGATAATGATTGTTCCATCATACTGCTCAAACACGTTTTTCATCTTTTTTTTGTTGGGTCTTTCTTGCAGCCTTTCAAACAATTGCACATTCGCAGCTGCTGAGCAGTTGCATGCAAATGATGCTTAGCTGTCCACCGCAACCGGTTGGGTGGACAGCCTGGAATCAATGGCTCAATCACTGACACTTCTGCAAAAAGAACTGCATCAGAATCTTGGCATCGGCATCCTGCTTGCATCACATTGCTTGAAAACGGAGGCCCTTGCAAGAACGACATTACAACAGCAGTTGCAAGCTACAAGGGCGTCCTTGAAGAGCCGAGGCTGCTAGCTGTCGCATACTTCTGCTTGTGGGCCTACCGAATACGTATGCATGCCTGGTTCTTACAGGGCGCCAAAGCCGATGATGGCCACAGCCGTCCATGGCATTGCCGTCCAGGGATAAAAGCTTTTGTATGCGTTGATTGAGCGTGAACTGTTGCAGCCTGTCCGGGACTATGGCTACCTCATTCACGAGTTTGATCCATGGCTTGGGGGCCAAGAAAAAGAATAAGAAACCTGTGTCCCCATTTCCACCATGTTGGATAAGGTTCAATTTCCGCGTGGCACAGTACCTTGCGAAGAATGGATGGTTCAAGTTTGCCAAGTGGTTTGCCACTCAGTATGGCAGGAAGTGATCTCTCATGCGCTTTGTTGTATGGGCCGGTTTTGCCGTTTGGCCAGGTTGCACACTGTCTCAAACCATGAAGAGTAGATCGCCGCAGCCGGGTTCAGCTGCCTGCAAAGACAAAGGTACGACTACATGAGTTGGTACCCCATTGGCAGACCGATTGGTACGACTACATATCCTGGAATGCAGCCACTTGGTTCGGCATTTGGCAAGAGTATCACAAAGAGTTCAAATCCCCGGCTTTCCGTTTCACAATCTTCGTTCCATTTCGCTTTGTGAGGACGCTCGTCACTCGTCCCATTCGTGTCACATGCCCCAATGGTGGGACCCAAGGTTTGCAAGCATTGGTATTTGGAGAGTGCGCCGCTGAGCATGTTGAGACACGGCCAAGCTTTTGAAAGGACCTATGCTCGGCCCTAGTTCTGTTGTTTGGGTAATTGAACTGGCGGGGGCACATGTTGACTGGGTAATTCCTGTTGTCTTGCCCAGTCGTTTGAGGTCATGAAGCTTCTCCCGAAGGCACGCATTCCGAATTCCCCTCAAATAAGCATGCCGCAGCCGGCTTTTGTTGACAAGATTCTTTGTGTTGGCGGCTGGAAGTGTAGCGCATGTCGATGTGGTCCAAATTGATCCACTTGGATAAGGCATGTGTTGAATGCCTGGTTGGGAATACATACTGGATCATACTGGTGCTCTCAGCGCATCAAAGGATGTTCACTGACTTGGGGCAGAATGGCACAGACAAAAGATGCATCCTGCTTTTGTCAGGCGGAGTGGGAACTCACCTGGTTGTTAGAGCATTTGCCAAAAGGTCCTGGCCTCAACCACTTGCTGCACTTGCTGTAATTATAAAAATACAATTTTTTTGAAACGCATGGAAGCTTCAAATGAAATTTTCCAGGCTGGAAGACGTATCTTCCTGGTCATGGCAAACTGTCGGCAACAGCCTTTGACCATGTCAACCGTGATGTTGCTACAGTATGCTACAGTATTGCAACCAAAGGTGCTTGTTTTCTACAGTGACAAGAAGCTACTAGGGGCTCCTGGCATCGCTACTAGGAGCAAGGACGCTACCTGGGGGTGCTGGCCCTACTACTAGTAACAAGAAGCTACTAGGGGCTACAGTCTTGCAACCAACAGACGTTGGCACCTGAGACCTTGTAACTGAGTTCTCTTCCATGAGCCTGAACGACGTGTGCGTGACCTGGCCGCGGGATGGAGGGAACTGCTGGGAAATCGTCCGCCTTGCCTCGTCTGGGCGGGAGAGCAGAGGGTTCTTTGGGTCAACAGGTTTTGACACCGGCATGGTTCGGCCTCGGTCTCAGTGACTCGTTGCACGAAGGGGTGCCGCTTTGTACATGAGTGCTCAGGTGGTGTGGCGACTCTTTCCCTGGTACTGCTCACCGTTGAGGCTCCTCAAGCTATGTGGAGACATTCCCCCCTTTGGCGGGCCACTCCTCCTTCGAAGTTCGGGAATTTACTTCTGAACCAAGAAATGTTGGCCTGCATTTTCCCAACTTTATAGATGACACCCGGCAGGTTTCCTTTGGAAAGTGTGACTTTGCTGTGAGGCCTCTGAAAGCCCTTCTGCCGGTGTTGCCGCTGGTCTTGCCCAGTGCCCAGAATGGCTGAGCATGGCTCAGCCATGCCATGCAATGCCCACATCAGGTCATGGCCATTATCCCAGCACACATGATGCGGTCCAGTGCTGGTGAGTATGACAATGAAGCTGTGGCTGCACTGGCCCCAGCTTTTCGTCTCTTAGCTTGTCACGATTGAATGTTGGCAGACTGCCATCATCCTAAGCCTAGGTCGCCTGCTTTTGTGCAACTTTCTGGTTGCCAGATCCCTAGCGCGTCCTTTTCTAACGTTTCAGCTGGACTCATGAACCTGGCAAGGTGGTGTCGCTCCATTCGAACTCCCAAATCGTGGCCTTGGGGGTTGCTGGCAGGTTGCATGCTTGGGAGAGACTGGCCAGCATACTTCGGGTGTACAAACCTGGGGTTGTTTTGCCAAGGCTTTGCGTACTTCACGGCTGCGTATGGCACTCAATGGGCAAGCTTGAGTGTCATTGAGTATCTACAAGGTTGTAAGTAGACCAGGTTTGTGCATAGATTTGCAGACAGCAACTTCGACAAGCTTTGAGTTTCTGAATTGATCAGCTCCATGCCGCTTGCAAACACTCCCGGAAGTAAATTTCTGGCGTCAAGCACAGGGCAACGTGGGGTGGCTACATATTTGTCAACAACATGATAGGCAAGGAGCTCAGGAGCACACTCGGCATCGTTTCAGCAGTTGGGATGTGATGGCTGAGGTTTGCATGCGGCGGTTCTAGTGGCCTTGGGCAAATACAACTCAGGCCTCTACAAGGTGCAGTTGAGATGAGTTGCAGATGTGGCACCAGCATTTTCAGTGTGCTGAAAGGCATATACCTTGTGGTATGTGGTGGGCACTTCGCTAGCTACGCAGCTTGCTCAGTTCTAAATTCTCCAGGCGTTTGTGATTCCTCCGGCTGGAGCAGCCTGAGGCTAGTCCCAGTGATCGGCTGGACCCCGCTTCGGGCAGTGGAGCAGACCAGAGCTCAGCCCAAAAGCAATGTTGTGGCAATTCCAAGCTGAACCCTCAGATAAAGCCATGTAGTGCAGAACCTTACGGGGTTCTTTGTACATGCCCATCTTGCACATGTTTTCAAGCACAGTTGAAGGAATGACTCATGATGCCAAATGACCTTCGTCCTCCGCTGATGACACTATGATCTCCAGCCAGCTGCTCTGAGGATGCCAACGTTGCTGGTCTTTGTCACGTTCCAGTTGCCCCTTGGCTGAATGGCATCTGACAAACAGCAATGTGGTTTGGGTAAGTTGGATGATGCTGGATGGGCGGTTGTTTGACGTTTACCATTTACCTCTTGTTTGGGCAGAGCAACCAAACCGTTACAGTTACATACAATTTGCTTTGCGGAGAAGTCATGTTTGCTGAGGATGCATATTTGCGATCTGGTGCGGCAGCGCACATCTCGCAGGGCTCACAGAGAATGAGAAGCTTTTTCCAGTGCGGGCTTTGTGAGTGTGAGGTTTAGACAATCCTTGGAAGTTCTGTGCCTTCAGGGTGGTTTCGACCTCGGCTGTTGGACATTTAATAATTGGAGTTGGTCCTATGAGTCATATGGCAGCGCTTGTTCTCCCTTGCTCGCTTTGCCACATTTTTCTTGGAGGCTGTGTTTGGTTCAACAATACTGGTCGGTGCTGGCGTGTGCTGGATATTGTACAGGCATGGCTTCGCAAAATGCTTGATGTCTTAGAGTCCCTATTAGTGTCTTATTTGTGTGCTTGGAAGCGCTACTGTATGTGCTGCTCAGCATGGGTCACTTCGCGCCACTGGGTGTATAGAGCTTAGATGGTTTATATGTTTTGATTCTGCACTTGTCATTGACCACGGGAGATTTGTGCGACTCAGGCCCGAATACGAGGGCTCTTCCTGAAGCACAAGAAGACCGGGAATCCTCTCGCTCGGAAGCCCAGCTGGACGACACTGATCGGCCGAAAAGTGGAGATGGCCAGGTAGACTCAGTGGCGGAGCATTCGGCGACGAGCAATTCAGCCTATGAGCTTCAACCTTGGTCGGAACGGGGCGGAGACGCGGATGGAGAATGGAGATGCACGTGGCCGACAGGATGGTCACGGTCATTTTCGCCAAGGCAATTTCTTGGAGATGCACGCTTCGCCTCCTCCTCAATGACGCAAGAGAGATCGCATTGGCCACCGAATTGGCCACCATGCCAACTGCAGGTGGCCGGAGTTGGCCTACTGTTTTGTTGTCCTCTCAGCTTCTGCCCACAGAGCCACGCCGAAAATCAGCGAAATGTGCGGAAGGAACAGGGGTTCCTCATAGTGTTCCTCATGGCTCCTTTGGCTTCCACACTCATCCAGAGGCTGGCACCAACGGACGCCGGCAAAGATCTTTCCTGCATGGCCGGCGAATGCTTAGATGCTGCTCGCTGGTGTCCGATTTGTCAACCAAGAATGGACTAGGAGGCCCTGGATGGTAGTTGATGGCAGTGTTGCCAGGTGATATATGCACTCGTTGCCTACCACTTCTCAGGCAAAATGTCGGCTGCTTATGACTTGCCAGATCAACAGAAATGTGACAATCTTGGAATGCCGCCTGCAGCCAAACTCCTGAGAAAAAGATATGATTTGTCAAGCTGACTTGCCATACCTCAGGTCTAGACTGATGATCATTTGCGGGCCTATTGTGCATAGAACTTGGTTTCTTCAGTTTCTTTAAAGGTCGGCAGATGTCTCTTGATACCTCAACAGGTCCATGCTCGCTGGCTACCCTATTGGAATAGTCACAGACTGGTACGCCTCTGAGTTTCATTTGTGTTGCTTGCGGTGCTGTCTCAAAGGCTGGTTCTCTTGCAGAGGGACTTCTTTCAGGTGCTTGCAGCAATTCCTCAACCTTCTTTGTGCCCCGCTGCCTCCTTGGTCGCTTTGCAAGCCTCTTGCATCATTGCAGTATCAAGGACCGCCAGGCATGGCACAATTGAAATCCAGTTTGATGATGTTGTTCTAGGCGCGAGCAGCCCGTGGTTGAGAAGGAGATCAGAACCGGAGGCTCCAGTTCTGCGTCCAACAATGAATCTGAGTCAGTTAGTTCAATTGATCTGAGGAATGGGCTCAATCTACCGCACGCTGTGGGGTGTTTTTCAGCCGATGGTGCTTGCAAAAGAGGTTCGACACCGCCACTTGGTACTTTTGCTTTCAGTCTTCCAGCTGGAGGCGGAAGATGCTCTCAGCTTGGCTGATGACATACAATGCCGTTTTCCACGTCCTTGCAGGCTGCAAGATGCTGGGGGTCAACTCAGTTCACGTGCGAGACCAACCAGTTTCCATATGTTTGCTCATTCTTGCCAGGGCTATGAGGTGTAGTGTGGCCATTCTAGTGTTGGTGACGGGATACATGAATCTTCGTCAGCCGGTTGGCCCCTTAAAGTTGTGATGAAACGACTTAATTTTGCACGAAGAAATGTTGCTATGCTGATATGCACTGAGACCAAGAAGTTCATCAAGACCTGTGAGGAGATCGCTCCAGCCAACCCTCCAGAATTGGCTGAGAAGCGATCCGCATTGTGCTTTCAAAGCTTTTGGAAGTCACGTTGGACCTGCTTGGCAGCATATGGGGCATCCTTCGATCGTCTTCCAAAGTCAGCAGGCTGCTAACTGCTAGCTTAAATGAGGCTGCCTGTGCAGGAAAACTGCTAAGGACTCCAAAGATGTGGTTTTCATGGATACGCTTCATTTAATACCATACCGTGACCATACCCCCTTGTTCAGGGCTTGATCACGGATTACCTGGATGGCTACAAGTGGATGAAGGCTTTTGTAACTGCACTCGCTTGTGGACAACAAATGCGCTTTATGTCATGCAAGAGGACAACACGCCGGCAGATGCACGCGTAATGGCTTGGTGGGACTATGGCTATCAAATCACTGGCATTGGTGCCTTGACATTGTTCACTGGGCGGGGGGGGGGGTGCAGAGCGCAGCGTGGGTGAGGCGGCTCTAGAAGCCAGAAGAGTCTCAGAAGAGGGCCTTGTAGTAGAAGATGGTAAAGAGGGTGATCGTCAATTCAACAATGGTGTAGTATACAGTATACATGGTATGCTTTGTGCAAGTGTTGTCCATTCATTGGTAACGTGCGATTAGAGTTCTGGGGGCTGCCCTGCATATGTTTGCTCCTTGCTACTCGGCGTGCATCAGCGTCAGGCAACCGAACATCAATTGCTGATGGGAACACATGGAACCATGAGCACATTGCAACCTTGGGGCGTGTGAGGCTCAGTCGAAATTATTGACAAATTTATTGTAACAATATTGTATGTCTTTGTTGTCATGCACGGCATTTAGGCATCGGCGCTGTCGCGCACACAGTGCACCGCTTAGGCACTTTGACAAACCCGGAGAAGAAGGCCCACAACATAATGCCGGCGACTTTGCTACTTTCTCCCTCCTAAAGCATGTCCAAATAGTACACGCAGTGGCTCCGTCAAAAGGCGCAGCACTGTTTGTGACTTTGAGATGCAGATGTCAGCTCCTCCTTTAGGCGACATCTTGCAGACTACGTCTTAGTTCGCACCCTAGTGTTTCTGAATGCCTCTGGCCTCACTTGTTCATTTAGCCCTCTGCGCAGCAGATGTCGGCAAGGTGTGGGCTGGGGGTCATGGAGATGATATGGGGAAATCCCCACATTTGGTCGGTGCCTATGAGGGCTCGGCACAACTGGGCCGATTGCTGAATTCCGGTGGCTGTAGGCGCGAATTGCCAACTCGGTCTTTCCAGATGTGCTGGCCTCATGCCCATGGTTGGTGCTAGTAGCCAGTACACAGGCCGACCAACTCCTTATTACTCATTAAGAATTGCCTTGTCAGGCCTGGACCTAGGTCCACCCCCAAATCAGAATTTAGACATGACTTGCCCTCCCTGAGGTCTGTGGTGAAGACGACCCTACTTGCAGGCTTGAAACCTTTGGTGGAAACCCTTTGGGATGCAACATGCGGCATATGCAACCTGTATTGAGGAAGTTTGGCTTCGACCACATGACCGGCCAGCCAACTGAAATGATGGCAGCCTCCTTCCTCTACAAGGCGCGAGGATGACCTGCCTTGCCCATCCGAGCAGCAAGATTTCTGTGTTTGGGCAGGCCGTGAAGCACAATATGGAAGGAGTGCGACTAGATCCAAAACTCTTCCAAGAGGCACGCAGAAATTACAGTACCAAGCGGCCCAGTCGATCTGGCAGATTGCTAAGGTTCATACAACCAAGTACGGCCTCATGAGAATCTTCAAGGACCCGGTCGTTCTTCGAGGATCTTCGGTGCCCAGATGTTGCTTCCCACACTGCAGAGGTTCTCGGCGTGTCGGAAGAGTCCAAGGCCGAGGGTGTTATCTAGGGGGTTGTAGGCCTTAAGTCAATGCTGGTCGGAGGGCTGGTTGAAACGGTTGAGCGTCTCCTCCCTTTGGTTGGATGAAGCATGGTCATTGGTCCTGGCCAGAAGTGGGTGGCGGATCCAGCCAACCGGAAGTGCGATGCACCTGGAAGCTGGTACTGCGTTGGCCGGGTGCCTTTGACCGCTCTCTTCCGGCTGATGGCACCACATTGCTTTCACCAGTTCACTCAATCTTGACTTGTCAGGCCAGTACCCACCAGCTTTGAGCAAGCTCATTGCAAAGAGGAAGAATTTTGCGCAGTTGGAGGCGATGCCATGATATAATAGGATAGAACAGAATAGCTCTCGCGGGAAGTGTTTGCGCGGAGTGAAATTGTGACTTACAGTCAGAGTGCTTTTGTGTCGGGCGACTCCTGGGCACCTGTCAGGACTTCAACCGCAAGGACGGGGAGAAAAGTGCCTACACCCGAATGGCACGAACACCTAGTTTGTGACACCTTTTTGGTGCCACTGCGTTCCTTGCTACTGCGTTCCTTGCTGCAACTTATGAGTGCTGGTGCCTTGGCTCTCAGCATATAGCTCATATGGCCTTAGTAGAAAAGTTGTGTGTATAGATTATGCTCAGCTGCTTGTATGCATGGCCCTGGGTTGGTGGCGGCAATCCAGTTGTTTCACTTCTCATATCATTAGGCGTTTTTCTATGTTTTCCTTGTGCATGATGGCTCATGATGGTACAGTAAAGATTGCTTTGTCAAAGTCAAGGACCCTGCAATCGCTGATGTGAACGGTAACCCAAGGCCATGTCGGCATCGTTAACCCAAAGTATTCAACCCGTTCCTTTCTTGGTTGTATTCCTTTCTGTTATTTCACCGGCTTTCAGTGAGAACGGTCCATTTGTCATGTGCCCTCCTCAGCGCCCAAGTATTCAGCGTTGACATTACAACACTGTTCTTCGGAGACGGTCTTGTGTTGACAGTCTTTTTGTAGCTAGTAGCTTCTTGAATAGTAATTAATGCACTTCTTACTAGTAACAGCAATGCACTTGTTACTAGTAACTTCTTGCTATATAATCACTTCTAAAATCTGGGGAGGACAGGGATGGATCCTGACAGTATTATTGATATTATTGGTCTGCCTTTAGCTCATGTGGGACTCCGAGGAGAAGATGGTGCGCGCTGCCAAGTTTCCACACAGCCACCCGGAGGCATTAGTAGGAAACAATAGGAAGTATATATAATTCTTGTGGTGCATAAATGTATGTCGGGATTGGTCTGAGCCAAGGACACAGCTGCATCATTCACCAGGTTCCTTTCTGCAAGCTACCAAGAACCAATCGATTGGCACAGCGCGGAGCGTCTGGACCAGCTGGAGCGAAAGAAAAGGCATTTGACGTGGAAGTAGTTGAAATCCGCCGACGATTTCCATGGGCCCTGCTTGCCACAGCAGCTGGAACTGCTGGCCTTTACGCAGTATATCTCCGCAGGCAGGAGGAGCTGCGAATTGCAGAGGAGGAAGCAGCCAAGTTGAAAGCAGAAGCGGCAGCTACACAAGCAAAGGCTGAAGCCGAAAAGTCTCAGGCTGAAGCTACAGCTAAGGCAGCAGCGTTGGCTGAAGCAGAGGCTGCAGCGGCTCGTGAAGCAGAGGCACGAGAAGCAGCTGAGGCCGAAGCAAAGCTGCAGGCTGAAAAGCAAGCTGCGCTGGCTGCAACTTTCCGCCAGGGCGAACAATTCTTGAATCGTATCAGGCTTGTAGAAAATGGGGCCAACTACTATTCTGCCTCAGATGCCCACAATGAAGATTTACATGAATTGCTTGCCAGCGTGCAAGCTTTTGTGGATCAGCAAGCCTTTCAAGACCTTCAACAGGCACAAGGTGACAAGTCTGAGCTGGCTAGCAAATTGATGAGCAGCCTCTCATTTTTGCGTCTTTTCCTGGAAAGGCTACAAACGGCGGACAAATGTGAGCAGCAGTTTGATTCTGCCGCAAGCTTGATCAGAGCAGAGCGAAGGCGGTGGTTAGCAGGAGAGGCTGCAAACCTTGCATTGGTGCAAGATGCTTTAACTCGAGCAGAAGCTTCTGTCTTCGAGCTGCAAGGTCTAGGCATGGAATCCAGCGGATTTGATGAAGTCATTGAGATGGCACGGTCGAACTTGCAGGAGATGAAGGATCAAGAAAGTAAGAAGCAGCTGCGCGAGGTCGCAGGTAAGGCTTTGGAGGCTGCGATGGATAGCAGCCCTTTTGACTGCAAAGTCTGCGAACAGAGTGCCAAAGAAGCCCGGTCAGCTGGTTGCCTTCCTTCAGCTGCCCTCGAAGTTGCGGAGAGGGTGGCAGAGCTCAACGAGCCCCGAAGTGAATTGAAAAACTGGGCCAGTGAATTTGGCCGCTTTGGATTAGAGATCTCGAGCTCTGCAAGCTCTGGCACTGTGGATGCTGAAGACTTTGTCACCGCAGCTGTCTCTGCAACAGCCTCGATGTCTGACAAGGAGCTCCAAGACCATGTGTCCCGCTTGGCAGAGGCGCTGGCAATGCACCATGAGCGCGAAAAGTTGGAGCTATCTTCAGCTTGGACAGCCATGTTGCCGGAGTGGAGTCGACTCAGCCAAGAGAAAATCATGAAGATTCGAGAGGACTTTGCCACTCGGAAGAGGTTGGGAAAGGAAACCATGAAAACAGAGTTAGAAGAAACCGCTTCCCTCCATCTCAAAGAAGCATTGGAGGAAGCGGTTGGTGAAGTACAGGAGCGCTCCGAGAGAGATGTGTACGACCTGCAATCCTCCAGCATGTTGCAACTCTCAGAAGATCTTCACAAAGCCATTCGAAGCCTTGATGGTCATCTTCGCAGTTTGCCCGAATTCTTTACTTCAAGAGTGCAAGAGCTTTGGAACCAAGGTCGGTGCCCTCAGCACCGGGTTTCAATGACCAGCTATTCAGCAGCAGCCACTTTGTCAGTTCCCCTTGGTTCACCACTGAAAAGTGGTGATGTGGCGAAGTCCGGCGGCTTCGTGGGCAATGTTGCTTCGCATCTTGCTTCGCACCTTCCTCAGGGAGCTTCAGCCCTCAGTGCAGAAGAACTGCAGCATGCCTTTCACCGTGAATTGCCAGAACTGGTGGCCGCAGCCTTTGAACCAGAACACGGTGGAATGCTGGGCAATCTTGTTGGAAAGCTCTTCGGGCGTCTTTATCGTTTTAGGGGTGGACAGGACGAGCTGTCCATGCAAGAAGCTTTGGAATCAAAACTTGGTACTTCAGTCCCTCTTGAGGAAGGGAGAGACGTGCAGAAGAACTTGCGTGCTTTAGCAGAGGCTTTCAAGTGGATCGAACTTGGAGAGTTCCGAAGAGCCTTGTCCACTCTTGACAGTTTGGTTGGGCAATGCCGCGCGCGGGCTGAAGACTGGATTCACTTGGCCCGAGAGGCCCTCTTGCTGAGGCAAGCTTCTGACGCAGTGCGAGCTCGCTCTCGGTGTTTGAGCATGAGTTTGGTCGAATAGCCGCGATGAAGTTTGAGTCCCAGCGATTGTTGCAACGCTTCGCCACAAGAGGGAAAAGGGTGCAACGCGCGCTCAAGCCAGCACCAGTTCCAGTTCAAACCGATGTGCATTTGTCTTGATCCCGGTGTTTTGTTTCATGTGTTTTGCAGGTCGAGGAGAAGATGAAGCAGGAAGAAGCAGGATGGGATGACCGCATTTGAAAGGTTCCATGAATTCGATCTGCGGTCGAGTCTCCTTAGTAGTGAGGCCAGCCCTTCAAGAAGCGGGGGCCGGCTGGTGGTGGATTCATCATATTCACGTAGATTTACGTAATGTGTTTGCAAGGATTGCCCTTGCTTTCGCTCTCATGGTGACAAGAAACATTGCGAGTTGAGGTTGAGGATGTTAGTTGAAGAAGGGACGTGGACCTGCTTTCCAATGTTCGAGCACCCAGACATGTAGTAGCTAACTACCGTGTGGCCTTCATTGATCCTTTTGGCCCAAGACGTTTTGCACCAGGGCTAACATGCCTTGGCATCTCAATGGCCTTGAACCAAACAATAACTAGTTGCAGCACACTACCCGCAAGCAGCACACATCACCAAACACATAAAATTCATCAGCATTATCAGTTATCAGTATGTCGCAACATGTCCATGTGCTTGGGTTTCATTGGCATGTCAGGCAGCTAGCGCTCAGGCAGTCCGCAGTCCATAGGAGCAGATTATATAATTTGGCAATCCATGGACTCCAGCCCTCATGTTGGCAGCAAAGGGACTGCTGCAGGCGCTTTTCGTGTGCAGGGTGCTGACATCCATGTTTGCAATGAATCAAGTTGTGTCTTGTGGCTGTCAAACCATGGCAAAACCCACCAAAGAGATCCAGAGAGTGCAAAGCAGTTCTTCGTTGCAGGCTGCGCTTCTCTTCCTCTACAGCAGCGTGGAAGCACATTCTTGCACCAGTCATCCCAAAACTTCTTCAAGAAAGCAAGTCAGAGAGTGGATCTCAACGCTTGACATTTTTGTGGCTGGAGCATGGCGCCTCAGGTGGAATAGGAGCCGTTGCGGCCAAAGAAGACACTGAGACACTTTGGCATGTCAATTTGTGAATTGCATCCATTGCTGAAAGTCTTCCGGCCCATGACTTTGAGGAAGGGTGGAGTCAAAGCATGCTGGACCCCAAGACAAGAGTGTTCACCGGTTTACATGTCTTTGGTGTTTGACGAGAATCTGGCACAAGGCCAAGATACTCCTGGCTGGTCCAATGGTTGGTCCGGTTGCGCGTGGCTTCCTGGCGGGAAGGCCATGCGATTGCGGTGTGTTGCCAACCTGAAGATCCGACTCGTCAGGATCCGGCACTCTGTAGACCCACCATAAATGCAAGTTGGCCATCAACAGCAGGCCAAGCCCTGAGAGACTCAGGCCAGACCTGGAGAACTTCCTTTGTAGATGAATTTTCTTAGGTTGGACCTGCGAATACTATCGGCAGCAGGGCCTATGCGGCCAAAAGGATGGTACAGTGAAAGAGATCCGGCAATCGGCCAGGCCGGAAGATCCATGTCTTTTCGTCCGGAAGATCCATGTTCCACGCATTGGATAGGGGCTCCCTGCACATGTGGCCTGAGAAGAACTGCTGTGGCTGTGAAGCACAGGAGGGGGAGGGAATGGGAAGGAAGAACTTCCCTGCCAATACCCCCTGCAGATTAACATGGAACCCCAAAACCCACCGGTCACTTGTCAGGTTCCATGTTAGTTTGCGGCGGGGGGTACCAGAGTGAGCCACGGCCAACGCGTTTCTTGCGTTGCTTTAGGCATTCTTCAAACCTCACCGCCTTGCCAAGTGACGCGAGGACGACACCACCTGCAATCGGCAAACAGGAAAGGTTTGCGCCCTGACTTGCGGCTATTCAAACGGGCCTGCCTATTGTTTGCCCCTCAGGCCAGTCGAAAGTGTTTCAAGATGGTTCCAGCATTGGCTGGTTATTCCTTGGGATCATGACCAACCCAACCTGATAATTACGGAAATTTACTCATTCAACACCAATCTAATCATTTGATACTAGGAACAAGTGCATCGCTACTAGTAACAGGTGCCTTACTAGTAGTAACAAGGATGCTACTAGGGGCTCCTGGCCTTACTACTAGTAACAAGAAGCTACTATCATCCCTTCCATGTCCGCTCGCACCCCCCCCCTCCAGGTCACAACTTCTCTCGATGCTTGTGCCTGCCGGGGCACTGCGCATCGAGCGACGGCATTTGCTCCCTGGAGACCAAGCAGGCAAGCCAAGCCCGGCCGGCTGGTGAGTCATTTCGTTCCAGTTTCTTGAAGGCTGCAGCGATCAGGGTACATCAAGGCTTCGTGGAAGGTCCGACTCTTTTTGTGCTTTGGTTCAGGATGTGGGCTCCAAATCTTCAGTCCCCATTTGCCGGGACACGCCCGATTGGACCAATGGCTTCCTGGAAGCACTGTTGAAATTTGACATCTGACTGTTTTCATGCTGGCTCATGTTGGAACCTGAGCATTGGTGCCCAAGGTTGGTCAGCATGTGCGTATGAAGAGGGTGGCCGGAATCCAGCCTGGTGCAGGTCAACCCCAGGAGCTTCGTGGCCCTCAACATTAGGACTCTTGACAGCAGGGTAGCAAACCTGACTTGCTGCTAGTTGTGCTCTTGCGAATTTATGTGTTGGTTCGCTCAAAGGATGGACATGTGAGCAACTTGCCTGAGACTATATGCGCATCTATTTGCACGGGCTTGTTGTTAGTATTCTGACTATATCTTACCTATCTTGTTTTGTCCGCTGCTCGCAGCTTTACGTGGAAGGATTCAGCGGCCGCACCATGATCTTTTTGTGACAGGTACTACCGTGCCAATGGGTTGTGCAAGGAGGGGAAGGTGAACAGCTGGGCGCCACTGGCAGACTTGGAGTCACGTTCGGAGTCACGTTTGGTGCAGCTGAACGACTGCTGATTCGCAGGCAAGTGGCGAGCTGCACAACTACCCCGAGTACAACTGCGACTTGACTTCAAGTTGTTCTTTTTCTATTCTTTCCATAGCCTGGCATGTTCCGCAGCACAGCTTGTGTCCAGGCTGCGGATGCCACAAGCCATCGAACACCACCTGCAACAGGAAATGATGGCGTGCTCGTGTTGCCAAGAACATGTGGACAGTCATGTGGACTAGAGATTTAAGTGACAAACGCATCGACAAACATGGCCGTGATGACATTGGCAGGAATACAGGAGGCATTTGTTTCATGGGAGTTTGCGACAAATCCCGAGGGCCGACAGCAACTGGGCACCGATGGCCGTCAGTCTTGTGGGCCTCCTGTGGGCCCTGTGGGCGTGGGAGTTCGCCCAGGTCTGTGTCGATGGGAAATGTCTTTGCCAAGAAGGGCACTGTGGCACAACAACTGGCACCTGCTCTTTAACGGTGCTGCTCTCGGTGGGCCAAGCATGTCTTGTTGAAAAATGGCTCTGGAGCACTGACGCGGCTGAGGTTGACTCATACAATGAGCCCCTGACCCCGGAAGGCGTCAAGGAGGCCACAGGCGAAGCCACGCATGCTGGGATACTTGGCTTCAGTCGATAGTTTGTCTATATAAATCATTCGGCCAAGTAACGAGTTCTTCTTCAACCCCCCATGAATTGCTCAGGATCTCCGCGGCCGAAGCGGCGGAATCGGCTGGGAAGAACGCTGCGCAGGACGTGCAAGCAGCTGCCAAGGCAGCAGGTGCCTTCGAAAAACTCGCAGCGGGTATTTTGAGGAGTTTTGAGGGTGACTTGCATTCGAAGGCAGACTGACTAGGGATTGACTTGCATTCGATGGCGGGCTTGCATTCGATGGGTGACTTGCATTTTTTGGTTTCTAGCGTGCAGTTGTTTTGGTCCCGTGCTACGATGTTGAAATCGGGGAACGTGACAAATAGATGTGCCCCACATCCAGTTGCAATGTGATTTGCTTTCAGGTCAAGCTGCTCTTCGTTCTGGATTGTCTGCTGAGAATGCAGCAGAGGCACGGGAAGAAGCCAAAGATGCTCGTCACATTCAATATACACAAAAGAAACCGAGGAACATGACAGCTGGCATGGAGGCTTCACAATATCTGTATTTGAGCGTTGTCGGCGTACTGTATCCGTGGTGGCTCAAAGCTTGCTGTGGAAGGGTTTTGCTTCCCATTTTCCGGCGAATGTAGCTAAAGCAGTTCATTGATCCACGATGGCCAAGACCACAGCGCTGGCTGTGTTGCTTCAGCTGGTCATGCTGGAAGCAGTCAAAACGGCTAGACACCAGGTGCGAAATGGTTATACGCAGGATCCCGTTTGTGTCAAGCGGAATTGCGTGAACCCCCTGGTGCCCGGCTTGGAAGAGTTTGGCCACAATGTTCTGGAAGAGTATCAAGGCAAGCCGTGGAGATGCTTAGAGCATGTGAAAGAGGAGGGCTTTGTGTCCAGCCGTGGTAACCTGAGCTTGCAGGCTGGATTTTGTCAAAGGGTTGTGTCTTCGTATCCCTTCGCGATTCCAGACTTGCAGGGCAGAGATCGTGATAGCATCATCAAAGACCAGACGCAAAGAGCGGTCACCAGCTATGTGGCACACCTGAGAGGGCTTGGCCGAGACTTTTGGGATTACGAGAAGCCGTGGGAAGCCGACACCTGCACCCAACTTGTGTGGAAGATGGTTTGCTACACACACTTCCCTCGATGCAACCAGGAGTCTCAGGAGTCTTATTTGAGGCCTTGTGCAAATGCATGCCAAGGCTATTTGGATGCCTGTGAAGTCAATTGTTGAGATGATGGCTCAAAGTGCGCCTTTACCCACACAAAGGTCTTTGATGGTGCAGTTGTGACTGAAGAGGGCTATGATCCTCGGAATGGCCCATCCCCATATTGCACGGGCCAAGCATAGGCTGCACTCCGACAATACTTGCCTGTGAGACATCGCGATTAAAAGAAAGAGCAGTCCCCAATCCCTCAATCCTGGTTTTCAGAAGTGAGAGCATGCGTAGTCCTCAAGTCCTCAAGGCACTTTCGTTTTAGGTGATTGTGAGCAACTTTGGGTGCAGGCAGCTGCAGACGCAGCAGCTGAAGCAGCTGTTGCTGCAAAAGCAACGCCCCAACAAGCAGCAGATGCAGCTGCCCAATGGGCAAGCTTCTCAGTGAATAGAACTTGAGAGTGAGTGAGGAGGCGCAAACGGGACTATTTGGAAATCATGTTGTTGCTAGCCGCTAGCCCTTACCACCCATTGTAGCGGAAGCTTGTGATACTCCCAAGGTCAGACACCAAGCAGAATCATCAGGCTTGGGTCAACACGATCAGGCACGGTGGCCAGAGTCAGTTCATTTTTCTCATTTTGGTGCAATGGAGCTAGCGTCCAAGACCACAAAACCCTCCAGGAAACTGATTTTGTGAACGAAATTAAATTGCCGCACTGCACCGCCGTACCTACAAAAGGTATTTATCACGAAAGCTAGCGAAGCTAGCTGGAGTTACTCTTGCGATAGCAAGGTTTCTTTCGACCGGGTGCAAATCCTAACCCCTGATTTTTCAGGTCGAAG